GTGCCCTGTTGTTAAGTCAACAATAGGAGTCACTATGTACTTACTCCTCATGTAGGATCTCTGTCCTTAATGTTTTGTTCAATGTGAATTAATGCTATAACTAGTACTGAAACAGTATTTTACACTTTATGTTCTGTGTGGGTGCAAACTGATGAAATCTTTACTTAATATATACTAAATCGATCTTCTGTATATAAAGATAATTGAAAATGAATCCTGTTGTGAATGGAATGGGAGATGGAGTGGGAGATGGGAGGGTTGCGGGTGGGAGGGAAGTTACGGGGGCGGGGAGCCAATGTAATCCATAAACTGTAGTTTGGAAATTTATATTTACTAAATAAAAGTTTAAAAAAAATGAAACTTCTCCAGCAAAAATACTGGAGTTCATAGCCAATCTCAGGCCAATGTAAAAGTCATATTTTCTACGTTCCTGGCTCATTTTGTTTGTCACTTAAGAAATTCCTGTGAATTGCACTGATAAGAGAGAGCCATGGTTGTGGTAGGTGGGACCACAGTCAAGGGGAGCAGAGGAGGTGGCCAACTTTGCTGCTTATGCATTTGCACCAGCCATGCTAGTGACTCTGCTAGGAGCTCTCAGCACCCTCGTAAGTGCCATTCTTTCTTCATACTTTCTAAATGAAAGACTTAATCTTCATGGGAACATTGGATGTTTGCGAAGTGCTTTGAGATCTACAGTAAATGGCCTTTCATGCTCCAAATGAAGAGGAGATTGAGACCTTAAATGAAATGTCTCAGAAACTAGATGATTCAGGTTTTATGGTCTTGGCCACACTTGTGGTCATTGGGTCCTTGACAGTCATCTTCGTGGTAGGCCCTCGCCATGGGCAAACCTTCTGGTGCACATAACAATCTGTTCCATCACTGAGCATTTTCAGTGTCCTGTGTGAAGGGCCTGGGCACTGCTATCAAAGAGCTGTTTGCAAGAAAGGTCATGCTGTGGCTTCCTCTGACCTGGATCTTTCTGGAGAGCCTGATTGTCTATGTGAGCACACAGATTTATTATCTAAACAAGGCCCTGGACATATCATTACTGCAATCGTAACTCCAATATATTATGTATTCTTTACAAACTCCATCTTAACATGTTCGGCTATTCTTTTTAAGGAATGGCAAGATATGCCTACTGCTGGTGTCATTGGTACTCCGAGTGGCTTCTTTACAGTCATTGTGGGGATCTTCCTGTTGCATGCCTTTAAAGACCTCAACTTTAGCAAGTTTGCCCATGTCTTTTTGGAAAGATGAAAAAGCAGTAATGGCAATATCTCTAATAGTAATCAAGAAAACCTAACCTGTGGAATTTAACAAGATACCATTTCTCCGGGGGCCAGTGCTGTGGCGTAGCAGATAAAGCCGCCGCCTGCAGTGCTGGCATCACATTTGGGTGTTGGTTTGAGTCTCGGCTGTTCCACTTCTGATCCAGCTCTCTGCTATGCCCTGGGAAAGCAGTAGATGGCCCAAGTCCTTGTGCCCCTGCACCCGCATGGGAGACCTGGAGGAAGCTCCTGGCTCCTAGCTTCTGATCAGCACAGCCAGTGGGGGAGTGAACCAGCAGATGAAAGATGTCTCTGCCTCTCCTCTTTCTGTATGACTCTGACCTTCAAATAAATATTTAAAAAATTTAAAGAAAATATCTCCCCAAGAAAATGAAACCTGCCAGCTTTTTAAGGAAGATGTAATTAAAAGGCTAATATATAATTCTGTTGTAAAGTGAATTCAAACATCAGAGTGTATCTGAAAATGCACTGTCCTCAAATAATGTTATCTAAAGACAATCTTTTTTGTTGCTTTAATTTGGAACCAGAAATCACTTTTCTAAAATGATGGTAGCTCACTATAATGACCTCAGAACATGACTGATTTATATTAACATTGTATTATTGTAGAGGTATTTTACCTTTTGACTCTTTCTAAATGCATTAATGACAATTTTAAATGTAAAAAAAAGAATGCTTTAATTACAAGTGCCAAACTCAGCTTGAAGAAGTTTAAGTAAAGAGAGATGTAAGTCTCTCAGAATATTTCATGGAAATCAGAACTATGAAAAGGCTAGGATATAAGAATATTTGGAATCTTGGAATCTACACTGCGCTGTTCCTCTCTATATCAACTTCAAAGATATTACCCTTAAGCCACTAATTTCCATCTCTTCAGATCATTGATCAAGGCAAGATACTGATAACTCATTTTAATACTACAAAGAGACTCTACATGAAAAGAACACTCTGGCAAGTTGAATCATTTCTGCCAGAGAGTTTTTAAGCAACCTTTAGAAGCATTAAAATGTTAACAATACTGCTTTGGCAAAAAGTGTAAAATCCAAAAGCTACCAAAAGAAGAGAAATGTGATAGAGGAAAGAACCTACAATGGTTTTGTCTGCCTTATGATGTTGCCCAAAACTTGTCCTGGTTAGAGAAAGTCCTGACCAATGGGAAGACGCAGAAAGAGGAGAGAAGTTACTTCAAATCAGTTCTTCGTAGGTAAGATCACTCCTGTAAAATTCCACTGCTTACATATGTACTGAATAACCCTCACTAAATGCATGTCTGTAACAAACTTCTTACTTGCTCTACTGCTGCTGAAACGGACGCTTTCAGAAGGTTGGATTTGCTCTCTTGACATCTACTTTTTTGCATCTGAGACTTATCACTGAAACTAGTTATGATTATTTTTTCATGGTTTCAGAATTGCAGTAGGCAATCAACATTTGATATTAAGGAACATTACATATGTAAGACTGAAGAATGGTTCATATAAGAGCTGCTAATAGCTCAGTGCCATATTCCAGTAAGAGGAAGAATGCATTTGGCAGCTTTGGCAGGGATTTCTCAAGAGGACACTCAAAGGAGATGTTGCAACTCTTGCAACACAGTTTATCATTAAACAAAAGTGGTGCTATTGCAAAAGCAGAGATAACGCCAGAATAATAATAAAAAAAAGAACTGGTCTTAAACCCTGGAGCAAAATTCATGAGAGATAACCAAGTTGTGTCTTCAAATGAACTAATCCTCAGAAAATGAAGGAAATTCTTTAGTACCAAAGTATATTTACAAGGTCATCAAGTAAAAATGGAAACCATAGAAATATACTAATGTGTTAACAGTTATTCTTCCTGGCTGCTGGGATTCTCAGTACATTTTTAACTTTCTGAAGTCATAAAGAGTTTCTTCATTTCCAAATAATTTACAGTAAAACTAAAGCACATCTTAAAATAACACAAATTCAACTAGGAGTTGAGCCAAAGGGAAGAGGGTGGTGGGGGGAGGTGTTGGAATGTAAAGATTTATAGTAGGCAGTAAGCAAATACCTGAAGATGATACTGTTGAACCTTGAAGAGGAAAACTATCTTCCCATCCTGTCCTCAGCAATGTTTATAGAATCCACTAATCTCCTTACCATATGAATTTCTGTTGGCCTTCCAGTGATATCTCTGTGTTGATCTTGCTAAGTTGTCTTTTCCAGTCAGCTGGATTCTATTTTCTGAACCTAACACTCAAGCACGTTCAATATAGATGAAGGATCTGACTAAAAATGTAACTTCATAGTGTGGTTTATTGAGATTTTGATGGAGTACACCCATATAGTTAATCCCTGGCTACTGAAGTCATAATGGAATTTGATTTCACTTATCTGTGAGACCCAGGATACAGGCTGGCTTTAAAATTTCCCACTGAGCTCTAGACTTTATTAATTCCAATGGCCTTCTCAGATATTATAAATTTAGCGGTCCAGTCAGGAAAAGAGGCAAAAATAAGAAAATAAGAGTAATGGATAACATTAATACATATAGCAGTACATTAGATTATGTACCCTGCACATGAGTTATCTTAATCTCACAACAGCAAGCTTACAACAGAGATGCTAAAAGAGTTATCACCACATTACATATGAGGAAAATCGCATTTAGAGAGGTAAAAATCAATGTCCCAAGGTTATATAGCAATGAGAGCTGGGTAGGGATTTCACATCAGCTTCTGTATACCCAACCTGCACCTGCTCATTTCCTGAAAAGAGAGCGACTGTGAAAACCAGGAGCTGACCTAATTGTAAGGAATGAATACCATCTGTGCCTCTCTGGACAACTCACAGAATCTAACTGGGACTCTGTTCTCTTCTGTAAAATGAAGATGTGGGGTTCCATGTCCTTCAACATCCTATGAGCCCTCAAGTTATAGTATCATAAAATATATTAGTTATATAATATTATTAGAAGAAGCTTTAAATTAGCTGATGGTTGGGGCAGAGGGTGTGGGATTTGCCATGAGGTCTTTATGATTGGGGCATGTCATTTAATCTGTCTAGTTATTATCTACCTCACTTCCAGAGATATTTTTAATATATATGTCCATGCTTAAAAAATGGACAATAACGCATATAAGGTACTATGACATGTCAAATTAACTTCTTTATAGCACTAAAATTATGGATACGAGGAATTGCTGAACTGGTTTCTTGTTCTTCTTTTCACCTTATTACTTAAAAAATTCTGGTATGCTTTATTTTAAGATAGTGTTCACTTATAAGTTTTTAAGCAAAAAGGGGAAGATAGAGAAAGTCTTCAGTTTTCCTTTTGTACTTGAGAAAGGTAGAGAAAATTCAAAGCAGACAGATACAACCCCAGGAAGAGGACAGTAAATGTGTCCCTTACATTTTTGTGACTCATTCAATCAATTTTAATAAAGAAAACAGTACAGGAAAATAATCTATATATAAGCCCCTTGACTCCTTTCTTGCAGTTTGACAAAGTTAATGATTAAAATCTCCTACATTTTCCACCGCATTGCCCCCATGGTGTCTATTTGCCTTGAATGATGATACTAGTTTGTCTCTTTTGGGCCAAAGATGATTGCCCCCTTGCTGCTCTGTAGAGATTAATAATTGATTAGTTCATAGCCAGAAATTGCAGCAAAAGGGAACTGGTTACTTTGGTCTACCATCTTGTACATGGTAATCCACAGGGAACAGGAGCTGCTGTAGGACTCAACACAGGAAAATGAAGAGGGTCCTCCTTCTCCTGCTTGCTGTAGTATGTGGGCATGCTCTAGAGAGAGGTAAGACTCTTATGACTTTTCACAAGACCTCTTCCTAGTTCTAATTTCCTGTTAAACATTTTAAATTATATGTTAAAGAAATAGAAAGTTTTAATATATTGGAGAGAGAAGAACGGATCAAAGAGACAGAATCTAAACTCAAGAATGCCATGTGGTGTTGAACCAGAATAGTAAAAAAAAAAAAAAAGAAAAGAAAACCACTAAGAATCTCATGAAAAGAATGGATGTGGAATTATATACATTATCAATCATCCTTCCCCATATTTTTGATAATCAAGTTGAGAATGATTTAAAGTAGAAATAGTAGAAATTTGTTAGGTATTAAAATATAAGTGGAGATTGTCATCTATCTCTAAGCCTTTTATTCAGACATCAAATATTTGTCACCTTTGAAATCATAATATACCACATCAATGATGTAAGAAGTCAACAGAGATTTCTTTGATCTGCTTGAAGGAATTTTATACATGTATTATTTAAATATGAATTATAGTTTTTAAGTACTCCAGCATGTAAAATAACTTTCTATAGCTATAAAACACAATCATAAGTAAAACAGTTGAGCTATTTTCTTCATTGCAATTATTCTTTAGATGGTGTCATCAACTTTGGGTAATTTTTGAAAAATAATTTATTTGAAAAGCAGCAGGGAAATACTACACACACACACACACACACACACACAATCTCCTATCTGCTATCTCTCCATAACTGTCCACAAAACCTAGGCTGGACCAGGCTGAACATTAGAGCTGGGAGTTAGCCCAAGTATCCCACACAGATGTCAGGGACCCAGTTACGACAGCATAAGCTGCTTTCTTTGTTCACATTAGCAGCCAGAAGCTGTAACGGATGGCTTTGAGATGGCACGTGGAAGTGCCAAGAGCAGTCTAACCACCTGCACACCCCTGGGCAAAGTATGAAAACTTTTTATAATGATAAGTGCTAAGATATGTGAAGTATCCAACTTTATGGATTCTATATATTGAGAACTTTTCCATAGTCAGTTTCAATTTACTCTGATGGCTGATTCTTTAATGTTTATAAGAGAATATATATTTACCCTCCTTTGTAAAATGAAAGCTTTCATTTGAATTCTAAGTGTCATACGTTAATTTTATATATTTAACCAATGGGATAAAATGTGTGTTTATAGGAATAATCATTTATTAACTGACATGAATAACCGTACTCTTGAGTTTCTCGTACTCTTTTTTCATCTAGTTTTCCTTGATCTCATTTTTTATGTGAATTATTATTTTAAATTGTTTTAGTCATAGATCCTTAAGTAAGCTATGAATCCTTAAGTAAGACTACAAAGCCTTCCTGAAATGGAGTGGGTTATAAAAATCGTAAAATAAATTAGGGCCCATCTAAGACTTCTGAATAGGTTAAGCTTATTTTTGCCCAAGATTTCCCCTAGTCAAATCTGATCATGAAAATCCTACTGAAGTAGTTTCAGATCAGATTCTTTCCAGTAATGGGTAGGTCTCAAAATTATATATGAAAGCCATGATCTAGAACATGAGTCACCATCTTGGATTGCTGACTCAGTAAGTGTGCCTTGGCCTCAACTCAAAGAATCAGTGTCCTTTGGAGAAAAACAGAGTATTCTGCAAGCTCTATTTCAACACCCTCAGTTCTCAGATCCTGATGAAATTCTAATAACCTGAAGTCAGCTCCCATAAAGGTCTGAATATTACTTCTATTACACAGATACAATAGGCCAGAGACACACACAAAAATGCATTTGTACATAATAGATGTCTAGTATTTTGGAGAAGTTGTCCTAAATCTTCAATTCCCTGTTCTATGATACTTGAGCAGGACCTAAAGACCAAGGCAGTGATTTACCTAGAAGCCAGGCATGTGCTTTCCTGGGAGAAAGTTACAAAATGTAGAGATTAAAGGAGATCAGGGGGCTCTTAGGATCAGAGTAAACATGGAGGGTGGGGGAATTGGTTTGCATTGCAGTTCCCTTTGCCTATTATATTTGAGGATAACTGGTAACCCACAGTGTTTACCTAGAACATCTGTTGTATCATGTACTTCACTCAAGGTGAGTCTTAAAGTTTCCATGGTCAAACATATTCATACATTAGCCATTACATTACTCTTTAATATTTTATGCGTTCACTATCAGTGCTTTTATGGTCCTAAAGGTTCTGAGATGTCCTACAGAAAAGAAATCGTATTCAACATAGATTTTCCCAAACATGTTGACCCTTTCCTCAAATGCCTATACCTGTGGGCGTATTGTTTGGAAGCCTTGGGTCTAAAATGGATGCTGCTGCAGCTCAACTTGAACATCAACTCCTGTGGGTCCAGTCTTCTCCCTTCAAAGGACATATGGCTCACACATGTTGGGAGAAAAGATCTTAACAAGTCTGTTAAATCTGTATGGTGTCACAAGAGAACACAACTTTTGCTTCCCTAAGAGAGACAAAAAGGCAGTCCTTGCCAGTTGTCTTCACCTGACTTCTTTTCCCACAAATGCAGCATAAACTCGGAGTGCATCTTTCCATCTTCCCCAAAACACAAGCAACAATGGCACTGGTACACAACACAATTCCTAAAGTAATAATGCCTGCAGGAATTAAACCACTGCAATTTACAATACTTGTTGGCAAGAATCAGGTGTTCAACATGAACATTTTCTGTTTTTGCTTTAAGCATTTTGTTCTCAGCAAATGTATTTTTATTAATCATGCTATCAAACTGCACAAGAAAGTTAAGCCCCCTTTGGAATGGTGGGCAAAATCCGTTTTTTCCTTCTGCATTTTCCCTAACAAAATAGCTCTTAACAAGAGAAAGTCATCAATTTCATCATCAAAACCAATTAACTTTCCAGAAATCAATAGCAATTTTACATTTCATTGCTGCAAAATGCAGTGCCACGTATGCAGTCACTAATATATGCATGTGGAATAGGCATACATGTGCATATCCTTTAAAGGCCACATTGCAATTTATATAAGGAAAAAATTAAGAAATCCCTGAAAGGAATTGATACTTCTCTTCACCAGTATCTACAGTCATCTAACTTCCTTATTCTGCCTTACTGCTATCTCTACCACCCCTTCCCTTTTCCCTACCCTGTTGTAGCCACATTGGCTGCTACACTAGTCCACACACTACAACCTCTATGCCTTAGGACTTTATGCTAGCTCTTCCATCTTCCTGAACACTGATTTCCCAAATATCCACAAAGCTATATTCCTTCCCTGCTTCAGGTGCTTGCTCCAAGTCTAGTCTACAGAGGGCTTCCCTGAACAACTGACCTGAGACAGTACCTCTTATTCCATTACTCTCTATCCCATTACATTTTTCTCCTTGGTATTTACTACCTTACCTTACTACTACCTGTTCATTGGTTTACTGTAACAAACACAGAACTTAGATTCCATGAAATCAAGGACTTTGCTTTTAGTCCAGTCTGTAATTCTCAGTTTTAGAACACTACTGAACATAGTAGGTGCTTAGTAATTTTTATGCAATATCACAAAATTTAGGATTATTAGAGTACTATGCTTATAAAGTAGTTTTGAGTATGAAAGGAAAATTAAATGTCAAGAAGGGTATATAATAGATATCCCAGAAGGAATAAACTCCGTGTTTGCCATTGTCTTTTTTGTAGAATTACTATAATAAGTGTCTACCATGAAGCATGAACACTAAATTTTACGTCCTATGGAGAAAAGTATCTAATATTTTATTCACAGTATGCTAGTCTGTTTGAAATCTTTTAGATAAATTGACTTTATCTTCTCCATGATCAGCTTGGGACTATTGTTATCTCCACTTTAGAGATGAGGAAACTAAAGAAAGAGGAGTCAAATCTTACCCAAGGTGTCTGAGCTAGTAATTAGCAGAACCAGAATTTATGTAAAATAGCGAGGTTCCAAAGACAACGTTCTCAATCACAACTTTGCTGTCTCTTGTGAAATAAGTTCCTTCACCAAACTAACAGTGCAACAGAGAAATAACCAGTCACAAACCTCAGTTTAAGTGGAAATAAGTGAAATTCATGCTGCCTACTGGGCTGATCCATCGCTGGTTCAGCCTCCTGTTTATCACCATTCCATGAAACTGGCTCCAGCTTCTAACTTCTCTGTTTTCCTGGCACCATTCTTCTGAATCATTTATTCAGGCTGTTGCAGGCATTGGAGAGTGAACCAGCAGATGGAAGATACCCTTGCCTCGCTTTCTCTTTCTCTCTTCATTTCAAATAATAAAATTAATTAAAAAAAACTGACAAGAAATAAAATACAGTGAATTATACCAAAGTCAAGGTTACTATTATGAGATTAATGAAATGATGGAGTTGAGCCTGCACAACTGACAGGTGGGCACTACAGATAAAAATCCACCTCAAGTCTGGCCTCTGTTTAGTCACCTAATTATGAATGCACCCTTGGCCTTAAACATTAATGAGTAGGTGACAGACAGAATAAACCTCCCCGCATAGACATCTACATCCTAGTGCTGGAAATTGTGATTAGGTTAGGCTTGATCATCACAAGGGGGAATTAAAGTTGCAGTTGTAATAAATATCACTAATAGGCTGACCTTAAAAAGATGATGCAGGATTATCTATGTGAGCCCAATGTAATTATAAGAGTTATGAAAGGTGAGAGAGGAGCAAGAGAGTCAGAGGAAAAATGAATGAGGAGGAAGACACAGAGAGGTGCAAAGTTCCTGGCCTTGAAGATAGGAGGAGGCGACCTGGAGCCATGTCTAGAAGCTATAACATGCAAGGAAATAAATTCCCCTGGAGCCTTCAGAAGTAATGCAGCCCCACTGACACCTTGCCTTAAGCCCAGTAACACCAGTATTGGAATTTCCAACAGAATTCTAAGGTTATAAATGAGGGCACTTAAATGAGTTTGTACAAAAACGAAATTGGAAGATATGTTCATTGACATGCAAAAAATGAAATCAATGAACGTTTTTTACAATATGTATTCTTGATTTATTTTTGGAGTCCCTTCTTAATTGCATTCTTTAAGCCCCTATACATTACAGCAACAAAAATCTAATATGCTGTGTTACTTGATCCTGCAGCTTACTGGTACTTCCCAAAGCAGAGAGCAGTGAGGCAAGGAATCCCCTTGTTATAAGACAACCATTTTCTCAAGGGAGAGCTGGGGAAGAAAAGATCAGCTTTCAAGTTAGCGCATTTCCTGTTTCCTATTTGTAATTGCTCCTATAGCCTTCTGATCAGAAATAAAGAGGTTAGTTCACCACCTAAGAGAATTGGAGCAAATTACATGGTTCCTATAACTGTTTATGACCAGATTTTATTGCAAAATCCATTATCAGCATTCATTGTTTCCCATGTTATGAACTGAGTTTTTCTTCCAGTATCCACATGGAGAAGCCCTAACTCCCAAGATGAGGCTTTTGATAGGTTATCAGGTTCATGAAATGAAGTCAGGAAGATGGAGCCCCTCTAATAGGCTTAGTTTCTTTCTAAAAAGAGCCACGGGAGATCTCTCTGTCTTCCCACACAACAAGGAAGATCATGGCAGGAAGAGGACTCCCTCCAAGAACACTGGCACCCTGATCGCAGACTTCCAGCCTCTTACAGCTTTAAGAAATACACTGTTTAAACCATCCAGTCAGTGGGGAATCTGTTATCTCAGCCCTAAGACGTCATGTGTTAGATGAATAAGCATTTTTACATGGATGAACATATTTCATAAAACAGCCTCTTAAAGAAGGTACAATTTATCTTAAATTTGAGATTACTCCTCCTTGAATACAGCCAAGAGATACCATTTTTAAACATATTTCAATAGATTCATCCATTTTCTTAGGAAAAAAAAACCAGTGGTAAATCCTTCCGTGTTCATATTCCATACTTCGTTTCCTCATTGAACTACTCATTGCCTTCAATCATGACTGACGATTTCTGAGCTCCCAAGGGCTCCTCATGTTGTTCTCTCCACTTAAAATTTCTCTCTTCATTATTCCACCCATCACCCACCATCCACTCCAAGTAACAGTCCCTTTAGGAGACTTTCTAAAAGATCCCTTCCATTCCAAAGTTTCCATTCGGTATGCTTTGACTCCATTTCTTCTCCAGCAATGGTCAGTATTGATGATGCATAGTTATCTCTACTGTCAGACTCAGGTGCACGGGGCAAGTGGCTTTCCAGTTTTCCTTTGCATTATGCCCTACTGCTGGTAGATAGTCAAGAAAGATGCCTCACACACATGTGTAACAGTCATCACAAACTGGATTTAGCCTATAACAATAATAATACTGACAAGTAGGATAGTGTTCCTATGGAAGTGGCAGGCACTGTCCCCAGCATTTTACATGTAGTAACTCATTGTAGAACCATACTCATCCTAGGAGAGACAGTCATCTACATTTTACAAATGGAAAACTGAGGGAGAACACAGGGGATCAGCAACTGGCCCTTTACCTGGGTGGTCTGGATCTAAACTCTCTGCCCTAAATCGTGACATTAGGGAGCCTCTTGTGAATGTGTTTTTCTTTTGGGTCTCACAATTGGGGCCAGGAAAATGTCTTGAAGCTTGACTTGACTTCCAACATTTTAAAACTTGCAGATTTCACATAAAAATTCAGATTTCTAGCTTCTCTGGACTCATGAGAAGATGTAATCATAAGGGCCAAATTTTCACATGGCAACAATTAAGTGGGGCTGAACTGTGACTGCCTCTTTTGAAATAAAGCCATAGTTCCCACCATTGAGAATTTTCCTTTCTGCACTTGGATAGGATACAGATAATGCAGTTCCTAGATATTATGGGTATTTGAACTTACTTTCATTGGTGTCTTACATGTGTTTCAGACTTAACATCACCTAATGGAAAGAATGCTCAAAAATGATTGCCCTTTACATTAAAACTAAGAAAAATAATTTATCATCAGCCATTTATATTATCCACAAATGAAAATACATATGGATTCTTTTTTTAAACATGAGCTGAACTTATTGTTTTCTTTTTTCAAAAAGGTTTTATTTTTACTTATTTGAAAGGCAAGGTGTGCGTGTGGGAGAGAGAGAGAGAATAATAATTAATGGGAATCTTCCATGTGCTGATTCGCTGCCCACATGCCTACAACAGCCAGATCTGGGCCAGGTTGAAGGCAGGAGCCCAGAATCCAATCTGGGTCTCCTACATGGTGTCAGGGACTCCAGAACTTGGAGCATCACCTGCCCCCTTCCAGGGTATACATTAGCAGGAAGCTAGAATCCAAAGCACAGCCAGGATTTGAACCCAGGCCCTCTGATATGAGAGACAGGCATCTCAAGCAATGTCTTAACCACTGTACTTACATTATTACCCTATGGATTCTTTAAATATCTTTACATCTAATTGATTATGGTCTTCATCCTAGAAAAGTAAAACCTACCATTTCCATAAGAAAACTATGAGTTTAATATAAATTGTAATACAACAGCAAGAACACCATTTTAAGCTAACACATTTTAGTCTTTTTTTTTTTTCAAAGATTTATTTATTTATTTCAAAGTTGGAGTTAAACAGAGAAACAAGGAGAGGCAGAAGCAAAGAGAGGGATCTTCCATTCACTGGTTCACTCCTCAATTGGCCACAATGGTGGAGCTGTGCTGATCCGAAGCCAAGAGTCAGGAGCTTCTTCCGGGTCTCCCACGTGGGTGCAGGGGTCCAAGGGCTTGGGCCATCTTCTACTGCTTTCTCAGGCCACAGCAGAGAGCTGGATTGGAAGTGGAAAAGCCGGGACTCGACTGGTGCCCATATGGGATGCCAGCACTGCAGGCGGCAGTTTTACCTGCTACACCACAGCGCCAGCCCCACATTTTAGTCCTAAAGTAACATCATGACAATAAATTCATAATTTTGTATTTATCAGCCTTGCTACAAATGGCAAATAGCAACTAGTTTTACAAAGTAAATATTTTCATGACAAATATATACTGGGTTTTTTTAAAAACATAAACAAAAGAAACACTTTGATTATTGATGTTACTAACATTTAAGTGGATAGTCCTTTGAAGTTTTCTTATCAAATATAACCACAGCTTTATATTCTAGTAATAGTTGTAATTTTATACTAATATATTCTACATATCCCATTTAATTTTCAACCTATATGATATCCTCAAGGCCATTATTAATTTATATATTTAAAAAGATCTCTTTAGCCTTACTTAGAAAAACAATGCTATAAAGCACTTAAAGCAATGCAAATCATAATACTTATAAAATAGCAATGCATTCTTAATACATATTAAGTATCCCACTTAAATTACAGTTCTTACAAGTATCCAACAGTGAGCCTTCAGGTTCTCTCTGGGATTTAGTGAGAAAACTAGAAAATTATATTTCACTTGGGGAATAAAAATCTTGCTATCCTGCCAGTGTAATAGACAACTACTGCCCAATTATTTTGGCCTTATTATCTGTAAATCTATTTTTATAATTACAAAAAGAATGGTTGCTCTTTGAAGAGAAAATTTTCCTATTTAAGATAAAACCATTCATAACATATTGAACTTTAAGCGCATTTAAATGGTTCAAGAGATCTGCTTGACAAAAATCATGTATTATAGTAGAAACATAAATAATACTCATGTAGACACAAAATGTGGAATGATTAAATCAAGTCATAAGCATATCTATGATATTACTTGCTTACTTTCTATGGCGAGACATTTGCAATTTGTTCTCTAAGTTATTTTGAAATGTATAGAACATTACTCTTTCACCTTTTTGATGATAGCAAGTCTAACAAGTGTGATGTGATACTGTGGATTGAATTTGCATTTTTCTTATGAACAGTAATATTGAGCACTTTTTTAAAGTAAACCTGTTAGCTATTTGTATGTCTTTTTTTTTTTTTTAATTTTTGACAGGCAGAGTGGACAGTGAGAGAGAGAGAGGGAAACAGAGAGAAAGGTCTTCCTTTCGTTGGTTCACCCCCCAAATGGCCACTACGGCCAGCGCACTGCGCTGATCTGAAGCCAGGAGCCAGGTGCTTCCTTCCTCCTGGTCTCCCATGCGGGTGGAAGACCCAAGCACTTGGGCCATCCTCCACTGCCTTCCCAGGCCACAGCAGAGAGCTGGCCTGGAAGAGGAGCAACCAGGACAGAATCCGGCGCCCCAACTGGGACTAGAACCTGGAGTGCCAGCACCGCAGGCGAAGCATTAGCCTAGTGAGCCACGGTGCCGGCCCTGTATGTCTTCTTTTGAGAAATACCAATTCAGGTCCTTTGCCCATTTTTAAATCAGATATTTACTTCTTTTTAATTAAGATTCTTACATGTTTAGGGTAGTAACTCCTAATCAAATGTTTGTATACATCACCTTGCTTGGAAGGTGCTTTTAATGTAGTGGTATCTCACAAGTACATTTTGTTGTGTGGTGTTTCCTGTTTCTTTCTGGTAGTTTTACAGTGTCAGGTGATGCATTTAAGTCTCTATTCCATGTGGAGTTGATGTTTTCTGAAGCTTTAATTGAGATGGTACTGATGAAGTGAAACAACCCCTGCTGCTTGTTTTATTACCTCATTAAAGGAGAACATGCAAATATGACTTTTCCATCCCTACTGAATAACACTGTCTTCAGATTTCACAATATATGATTAATGAACTGGCTTTAAAAAATATTCATGCTGTATCCAGAATTGTACCATGGATCCAGCACCTCAAAAAATCTAGATGTGATCTTCCAAAGAGTTTTGCTGAAAGTGAACATAACTCATAATGGCTCCTTTGTTAGATCCACTAGAAAATGCTTAGTATTCCTTCAAACCCCTCTCTACTGAGACTAAAGCACATGGCCGAGCACTTCAGCCATTCTCCTCATCTTGGCGTTTTCCTGTGCCAGACTCTTCAAGTATGTATATTTATTTTTTTCTTTTTTCAGAATATAAAGGGTAAGAATTAACTTTCTTCAGAAACGATAGTCATAGACTAAGACTTCAGAAAGTCATGAATGCTTTAATACATAGACAGCATAGTGCAAATTGCAAGAGTCATTCTCTAGCTCACAAGCCAAATGTGCTGAAAGGTTAATAAGCTGTTGATTATTTAATGGTTAAAAGTCAATTTTCCATAGAAATCATTTATACATAGAGAGTAAGCTCTTGAAGAGACGCTCAATTATGCATAATAATATCAGAGGTGAAATGAGATAACTACAAATCTTACAGGATCTTTTGAGGGTTAAAAGTTCAAACATTTGGACTAGCTTCTACCAAATTGTTGGCACTCCAATATAATTATTACCATGGTATTATTAGTATTTTTTGTAGGACTTCAGCATTGCAATATGTTCTAAGTTTCCAAATCAAAATACAAGGGATAGCACTTGCACCAACTCCAAAGGTAGAAGAGAAAATAATTCCTCCGTCTTTTTCTGGCAAAAGTAATTTCAACTGAGGGAGTGACCAGCCTGAGAAAGAAAAGAGAGGCAGGATGAGATGTTTGGAGAGAAATGTTTTGTATGGGACTTCGGTGAGTGTCCCAGAAGATAAGCTACCACCCAGAGTGAACCCAAGGACAGTGGTTTAGTGAGTATGTATATATTACCTTTTGCTGAATCTATAGTTTCTGGACAACTAGCCCATTGACCTTCAATCTTCTACTGTTTTCATTGTTTTTTTTTTTTTTTAATTTCCAAATCTGCAAGAAATCTCAGGTTGCCCCACTGATAGCATTGTTAAAAGACAGATTTAATTTCTTCTAGATTAATCTATAGATGCCATGGGGTTCTCTGGGTATAGTATTAAAAATTTTGAATTTCTTTCTATTTACTCATACACAAAAAAATTGCATACCTGCTGGTAAACAATATTTATGAAAAAAACAAACCAATGTTCTATATTTATACTTAAATCATTTAAAATGTTAATGATGATGAAACAAAAACTTAAAAATGAAATAAAACATTTAATTACCACTTCTTCATTGTCACTGTTCCTAGTGATTTATCAATTTCAAAACCAGAGCCAGCTTCCTAAACCAGTCCAGAAATGTTTAATTTTTTAAGAAAAACCACTTCTCTGAAATTACTAGCCAGACTAATTCAAATAAACACTGAAGTTTCCTTTAAAAAAGAAATTTCCTAACCATTTTCTAACACAAATGAGCCCAACAGTACAAAATAGAAAGAAAAATGTCAATGCCCAAGAGAGCTCTAAAAGCCTGTAATTCTCCAAAACACAATAGAAAAAACAGCAGCTTGAGTTAGTTCCTAGCATCCTCTATAAACATCTATTCAAGTCAATGTTATTTAAGATCTATTCACTGCTCATGATATATAAAGATTTTTTCTAGGGAACAAAATTGTGTTTTAATGAGACTATAAAAATAGTATAAGCATCCAAAATATCTTTATTAGTAATCTTTCTACCCATACTGTAAGTTTATTGACTCTCCTATTTATCATTAAAGTTCCGTGAGGGCAGGGAAGTGTCTATTTTGGCCTCCATCATAGACTTCAATCCAATTCCATACTGAACCCAAAACCTGGCACAGAGGAAACCCTGAAAACTATCTGTTGTGCATACGAGTGAACACTGTCAGCTTTGTTGGAAAAGGTCAGGTGCATAAAGCAGTAAAGATTTCCCCACAGGGAAATCAAATCTATTTAAGAATTCAGAATTAGACAGAATGTAACAGAATGTTCCACAATAGAGATAAAAATGGGTCACACTATTGTGAAAAGTAAAAATTCTGTTAATGAAATTTGTAAACATTTCAAACTAAGCGATTACTTGATGTGAAAATGATTTCACCACAGTTCCTAAGATTATGTCAATATTTTCTTGTGCCATATCAAAGTCCAAATCATCCTCTTCCACCCAAATGGCACATTAAAGACCAGAGCATGTCATTTGCAATTCATTTCAGGGGTGACCTAAATGTATCAATCAGAGTAAGCTCAATTACTATTTAAAAATTATATTTATTCAATGGAATGAGGAATCAATTAACAATAATCACATTGCCAATTAAATTTAGTATTTGCTGTTTTTTTGTGAGATGAGAAAATGATTAATATATTGTAAGCTAGATATCTTCTCTTTAGACAAATGAATAAATTAAGTTTTTTTTAATCAGAAATATATTTTGGGTTGCTCACCTGAAAGATTATGGTGCAACAGCTTCCTCTACAGGCTATCTTCATAAGAGCAATTTACCCTTAACATTTAGTTCTGAACTTTCTCAATGCCTCCCAGTGGGGCCTCCTCCTTTATTTTCTCTCATACTCAAGGTTGACTATTCTAGCAAAAAAATGCCCCCAAACCACTGTAAGACATGCTGATTATCTAGTTTCCTACTTCTCTCTCTTATCAATGTGAATTCTAACCAAAGCAGTACATATAGCCAATGAACTTGAGCAAACATACATAGCTTATTTAATTGAAACAATTTATAGAGAATTATCTGCAAAGCCTATTTGAACTACCTTCACATGAATACATATTCCCATAATATATGAAATTTTAAAAATAGTGAAATGAGAAATCTGAATGGAAGTCGACAAGTAAAATATTTCTCAAAATGTTCATCTGAGGTACCCTATATTATGTTTTGCATGTTATTCAAAAATCACAATAAAAACACCAACAAAAATGACCTCTCCAGTTATACATGGAGAGTTTATTAAACAAAGTTATCTCACATCCACTAAAAGGGGAAAAAACTTCCTATTAGAACTCATTTTGTAAAATAAAACTCAGTAAGTTTTGGGAAAAGGATAGAATATCCTAGTATTTCTAAAAGGAAATAATTTACCATACTTACTAAGTAATATTTTTATATTCAGAAACCTTTAGTACATATGATTATTAAATACATTTGACTATTTCCAGTGATAAAACAAATACACTATTCAAAAGGTTGTTATCATTTCAGTTACTAACAATCACAGTTTTTTTTATAAACTTTTCTTACATTAGTTAAAACCTACTGCTTTGTGACTACCAGATATTTTTCCTAGCTCCATGTTAGAACAACAGAAAACAATTATATTGACATCCCTAAAGAACAGCTTTTCTCTAAATGAGAGCAATTCCAATCTCAATTCTTTCATTTTGTGTTCCAATTGTCAGTTTTATGGAATACCATTAATGATTAATGAAAAATTTCTACCTTACTTGGACCTACTGAACCTGACAACATCCAGCCTTGTAAAACAATCAATAAACTGCAAAAAGTGTACTTAGATGTGAATGTTGTCAGACATAATAGGTTTGTTGCAAGTGACATTTTGCATTCCACTGATCATTAGTTTTAGTCATCCTATTACCTTAGCCAGGTTTTCAGGATAATACCAAATCTGAGTATGTGGGTTCTTTTCTACCTTCCATGTGATTTTGATGTTCTTGAATTGGTCCCTTATAACAAATTGCTATTTAGGAAAGTTATTGTCAGATATGTTTCAAAGACATAGAAATGAGCATTAGGTTCAACATCATTACCCATCAGTGAAATTCAATGGGATATCACATAAGTCTAGTTACACTGGCTATTATCAAAAAGACAAAAATTAAGGGCTGGCAAGGATAAGGAAAAAGGGAAATCTTGCACACTATTGCTGGGAACATATATTAATACATCAATGTGGGAAATAGTGTGCATTATTCTCAAAAAAAATAGCATTGTATGTTCCAGCAATCCCACTATCAGATATAACCAAAGGATATGAAATCAGTCTGTCGGATATCTGTACTGCAATGTTTACTGCTGCACTATTTAGAACAGACAAGAAATGGAAACAACCTAAGCATCAGATAATGAATGGATATGGAAAATGTGGTACAGACATTCAATGAAATACTATTTAGCCACAAAAAAAGATAAAATCTTTTTTTTAAAACGTTTATTTAATGAATATAGATTTCCAAACTACAGCTTATGGATTACAATGACTTCCCCCCCCATAACGTCCCTCCCACCCGCAACCCTCCCCTTTCCCACTCCCTCTCCCCTTCCATTCACATCAAGATTCATTTTCATTTCTCTTTATATACAGAAGATCAGTTTAGCATACATTAAGTATGATTAAGTAAAGATTAAGTAAAGATTTCAACAATTTGCTCCCACACAGAAACATAAAGTGAAAAATACTGTTTGAGTACTAGTTCTAGCATTAAATCTCAATGTACAGCACACTAAGGACAAAGATCCTATATGAGGAGTAAGTGCACAGTGACTCCTGTTGTTGACTTAACAAATTAACACTCTTGTTTATGGCATCAGTAATCACCCTAGGCTCTTGTCATGAGCTGCCAAGGCTATGGAAGCCCCCTGAGTTCACTGTCTCTGATAATTTTTAGATAAGGCCATGGTCAAAGTAGAAGTTCTTTCCTCCCTTCAGAGAAAGGTACCTCCTTCTTTGATGACCCGTTCTTTCCACTGGGATCTCACTCGTGGAGATCTTTCATTTAGTTTTTTTTTTTTTTTTTTTTTTTTCAGAGTGTCTTGGCTTTCCATGCCTGAAATACTCTCATGGGCTTTTCAGCCGGATCCACATGCCTTAAGGGCTGATTCTGAGGCCAGAGTGCTGTTTAGGACATCTGCCATTCTATGAGTCTGCTGTGTATCTCGCTTCCCATGTTGGATTGTTCTCTCCCTTTTTTATTCTATCAGCTAGTATTTGCAGACACTATTCTTGTTTATGTGATCCCTTTGGTTGTTAGTCCTATCATTATGATCAGTTGTGAACAGAAATTGATCACTGGGACTAGTGAGATGGCATTGGTACATGCCACCTTGATGGGATTGAATTGGAGTCCCCTGGTATGTTTCTAACTCTACCGTTTGAGGTAAGTCAGCTTGAGCATGTCCCGAATTGCACATCTCTTCCCTCTCTTATTCCCACTCTTATATTTAACAGCGATCACTTTTCAGTCAAGTTTCAGCACTTAAGATGAATTGTGTATTGATTACAGTATTCAACCAAAAGTATTAAGTAGAACAAATAAAAAAATACTAAGAGGGATAACATATCAAGTTGCTCATCAACAGTCAGGGTGAGGGCTGATCAAGTCACCGTTTCTCCTAGTGTTCATTTCACTTTAACAGGTTTCCTTTTTGGTGCTCAGTTAGTTGTCACCTATCAAGGAGAACAAGTGGTATTTGTCCCTTTGGGATTGGCTTATTTCACTCAGCATAATGTTTTCCAAATTCCTAACAGGGATCACTTTTCAGTTAAAATTTAAACACCTAAGAAAAATTGTGTGTTAATTACAGAGTTCAACCAACGGTACTAGAACAAAAAAAAATACTAAAATGGATAAAGTATTACATTGTACATCAACCGTCAGGACAAAAAAGATAAAATCTTATCATCTGCAAAAACACGGATGGAACTGAAGACCATTATGTTAAGTGAAATACTCTAAGCATAGACAGTACCATATGATCCTGAATGAATAATTGATTTCATAGAAATAGAAGAAGGGTGAGTAGGAGAGTAGGGGTAGGGAGGAGAAGGGAAAAGATGACAAGATGGTACTGTTAAGGTTAGGTTAGAGGGGTTCTGAGCTTCTGTTGCGCAGAAGGGTAACTACACAAAATGATAATGTGCATTTTTAAGTAAAAAAAATGGATTTTGACTATTTTCTCTGTGAAGAAATAAACATTTGGATAGATGTTTCCCTAATTTGAACAACATGTAATTTGTAGATATCTTGAAGCATAATACCCTATAAATAGGTGCAGTTTAAATTACAAGTTAACAATAATTTTAAGAGGAATCCCATTGCCTCTCAGTTGACTTTTCTCACCTCAGAGGTACATTTTTGATTGTGCTCCTAAAGAGTACATAGTACAATAGCTTCCTCCAAAGGCAATTTTCATTATTAAATCTAACACATTCTAAATAGGAGCTTTTATAAAAGGAAAAAAAAAAAGCAAACCCTCCCAGCCTCTATCAACCACCTTTAAACATAAGACAAAAATTTCCACAAGGACACGGGTCTGTTCAGTCATCCACAGAACAGTAACTGCTGCAGAGAGATAGGACATCTTTGGGCTTAAACCCACGTCAGCAGTTACCATCATATCACCTTGTGGGATCGTCCTGTGAAGCCCATGTCAGAATGGTGGGGCAATGGCGTTCTTCAACAAGCAGCAGCAGAGACAGTTTTGGTGAACATGCCCATGCTTCTCCAATCAGCTTGAAGGGTACGTAGCCCACCTAGTCTTCCAGGTGGTCTTATGGGTCTGGGCCACACCTGTTTACCTAGTTGACAATTACAAAGCCCCTCAACAGGAAGCAGGGGTTGGGCAAATGTGCCCGAGGCCCCTGATGCCTGCCAGCGCTCAGGTCATATGTGGGTCTCAGTGTGCTAAGTCCTCAACCAGGGTTTTTCCCAGGGAGCATGGTGTGCCATGCCCTCTTGACCTCCTGCATAGACTAGACAGGCAGTCTTCCAGCCAGGCACAGGATCACCTACATCACCTGAGATGACTTTCCCAATATTTTAAGCTAGGAGGATAAATCAGTAGTTATCCCACTTAGAGACTATGCCACTTATCCACTTCTCATATATTCTCAGAATATATAATCAAAGGTGCTGGGAAGTTTCCTGGACTTATTTGTGTAAATGAAGCAGGGGAAAACATAATTCAATATGCCCATTCTTCGATGTAATAAGTATGTTCAATAAGCAGGTATCACCATCGGTGTAGAACTCACCTCTGCCTGCAGTAACTACCTCTTCCTGAGTAGACTCAAACTCTGTTTTCTCATGATTTGTTGGTTCACTCTCAAATATCAAAAAGTCTCTCTCTTCCTCTCAAATGCCAAAAAAAAAAAACCACTTCATTTCAGTCATGAGAATGTTTGACTGTATTTAATAGCCAACAATATGGAAATTCATTGGAACTTGAAGCCATTCCCTGCTCAGGCCTCTTCCTGTCTTGTGGCATGTGTTAGGAAGAAAGTATGGACACTGACCTCTCTCCTCTGCCTGCTGTCATCTCCTCCCATCCATCCTCTCCAGTCTGCTTCTGGCTCTCGAAGGCTAACACGAGGAAGGAAGAAGCTAGCAGGACAGGCAGCAACAGAGAAAACCAATTCAGTAGGCAACATAGTGTATTCAGCGTCATTCCCTGTGGTGACGTATGTTCAAAGCAGACATTTTTGCTGGTGGGTTCTTTAATGCTCTCTCTTCCATCATCCCTGGAAATCTTTTGCACATAGCAGCACTTTCAGAGACCACCTTGGGACCTTAAGACTCAATTTTCAAATCATCCACCTCCATGCAGAGGTGTCCCCTCTGTTGGTAGTTTGCTCTCCAAATAGCCCTTAGGGTTGGGGGCGGGGGCAGTAAAGACAGCTCTAGGCCAACCAGTTTGTTGTCCTGCTCAGTCTACATCAGTCTGCAGGCCACACTACTGATTCTCACCCATGGCCCTCTCCTTCACTTCACAGGCTGCTAAGTCATTCCCTATCCTTTTAGGTTTCTCTGACTTCAAACACCTGTCCATTGTACCCTATACTCTAAAGATTATCTACCAAGATGGCTGAGAGATTTCCTTGAAGCCCCTCTCACTATGTTTGAAGAGAGGGGAACACTCCTCACTTTTCCCCCAGACTCATCCTACAGACAACTTTCTCCAAGTAATACTTTGGATAATTCCCATCTCTTACTGCAGAATTCCTCATATCTCCCATACAGCCTGCACTTGAGTCACAGGCACCCATTATCAGGCACCCCCTGGAAATCCTGTATTAGAGGGGCTGGCCCCTCACTTTGGATTGGAGAACATCCCTGCTTATCATTTGGGGAGGGAGGCAATTCTTTTTGACTTGCAGGCTTTATGTGAAACATTCACACACACACACACACACAAACACAAATAGAAGGAAAGGAAAGAAAAAAGGTAGAAAAGAAGGTGGGAGGAAAGGAGGCAGAGCCCCACGTTAGCACTGAGCCACACACACACATTCTGACTCACTGGCTGCTAGATCCCCAACTTACCCACTTTCAGTATCAATTCACTCTTTATTTTTCCTTCTACCCATTGAAACATAATAGCAGGTCATAAAATGGTGGTTCATTATGAGAAAAAGCTAAAAAAAAATGCACCCCAGAAGTGAAATTGCATATAGATTGAGAAAATGCTACTTTCCCCATAGATTACATGGAAACTCACTTTTTACATGTATATTGAATATGCTATTCATTCAAAAGGAAGTGACACAATTTTTCTATTTCTGGTTCCTAGGCCGAGACTATGAAAAGGATAAAGTCTGCAAGGAACTTGCCACTCTGGGAAAGGACGACTTCAGAACTCTGTAAGTGTGCAGCACACATGCACGCTGCTGGTCACTGGACCCTGAACGAAATTGAACGTGAGCACTTCTGTCCAACTTGGAGGAGCAAACTGACTAAGATTTAGAGGATCATTGTCCCAGGGTCAACAAGGGTAGAGATGTCAGGCAAATGGGGAACATCCAGAGGTTCTAGTTCAACGATGGTTACTACAGTCTGAGGATCTATTGCCAACGTTTTCAAATGAGCTAAAAAAGAATGGGTGTGTGGGGAGCAACTCGGACTAGACTAAGTTACTGGAATTAAGACTTATTCTATGCATCTGCTCTCCCACAATATGGCGCTGAGAAGGGAGAAACAGCTTCTACGCAGCTCCCTCCAGTTCAACCAATAAACTGTAGGACCTGCTCCTGATTGGAGGAGAGCAGCGTACTCGGCGTGTGGGTAGCAGAGTTGGGATTGGTGGAAGAGGACTATAAAGGAGGAGAGAGACAACATGCACCAGGAACATTTAAGGGGAACATCTATCTGAAGGAACACCTGTGCAGCCCCCGAGCGAGCCGGCGGTGTGCTGCTCCCCCGAGGAAGTGGGGAAGCTGGCAGGGGGAACCGCCCTTCCACGGAGGTGGAAGGGACGGTAGCCAACCCGGGAAGAACCAGCAGCAAACCCGGGGAGGGCCGAGCAGACGAAAGAACAACGCAGGGTCCTGTGTCGTTCCTCCACGAAGACAGGGAGCGACATGGGTGAACACAATTATCTAAAGTAAACCAAAATGCAATTTTACTGCCAAAGACTCTGGCAAATGAAGGCATTGAAGGCCCAGATTCACTGCGGGAGGCTTGAGAAAGACAATACCAGGCTGGGATGATGGAACTATTAAGTCCAATTTCTACTGCTTTCTGAGTTAAATTTGCTTAGGATAAAAACTTTTTTAAAATTAAACCTCATAAATTTCTCATTAGCCAAATAAAAAAAGCAAATGTATGAAGTAGCCCACTTAAATATTGAACAGAGGTCATATTTATTTATTTGAAAGTCGGTAGTACGGAATGGGAGAGAGAGATCTTTCAGCTTCTGGTTCATTTCCCAGTTGGCTGCAATGGGCAAAGCTGGGCCAGGCCAAAGCCTGGAGCTTCATCCAGATCTCTCACATGGGTGGCAGGGGCCCAAGCATTTGGAATATCCTCCGCTGCTTTCCCAGGCCATTAGTAGGGAGCTAGATTAGAAGTGGAGCAACCAGGACACGAAATGAAGCCCATATGGGTTGCTGGCATTGCAGGCAGTGTCTTTACCCACTGTGCCAAAACATCGGTCCCAACAGACTTCATATTTTAATATGTGCCAAAATGTATTGAAAGACATCAGTTCTAACTAATACATTGCCTTATTCTTCCCCCTAGATCACTAGTACTGTACAGCAGGAAGTTTCCCTCTGGAACATTCGACCAGGTCATGAAGCTGGTGAAGGAAGTTGTCTCCTTGACTGAAGACTGCTGTGCCGAAGATGCTGACCCTGGCTGCTATGACAACAGAGTATGTCAACATGGCTGGTCAACTCCATAGCAGCCCAGAAGGCAGTCACAACAGGCCATGCTGTATCTTGGAGGAATCTTAGACAGCAACTCCACCTAACTTCCAGTTTGGGGAAAATACATAGCTTGTTATCTTTAGAGTCAAATTAATTCTCACCGAACAACTATTTTCCCTATTATATGTTCAAATGAGAAAACTGGGCAGTAAAGTAGCTTAGTGATTACTGAGCATACTTTGCTTGTAAGCAGTGGGCATAGGATTTAAGTCCTATTTTATTGGTATAAATGTGAGACTCAAAAATACCAACTTTTGAACCTCATGAAATAACTCTAATGCTTGCTGGGGGCTGGCATAAACCGCCTCTTGCATTGCAGACACCTCATACTGGAGTGCTAGTTTGAGTCTCTGGGGCTAAGCTTCTGATTCAGGTTCCTACTAATTGCCTGAGAAGGAACTGGAAGATAGTTCAACAAGCCTGGACCCCTACCACTCGTGGGAGACCAAGATGGAGCTCCTAGCTTGTAACTTTGGCCTGGTCCAGTCCACAGTGTTCAGGCATTTGGGGAGTAAATCCCTCTCTCTGTCACTTTGCCTTTCAAACAAATAATTTTTTTTTTCAAAACAGATATAACCCTAATATGTTCTGTATCATTTAAAAGCTTGTCCATACCTTTATCATCATTCCAGGATGGTTATCAAATGCCCTAGAATAATTTTCTGCTGGCCTCAAATTATTTACAGGTTGAAAAATGACCATGCGGCCGGCGCCGTGGCTCACTAGGCTAATACTCTGCTTTGCAGCGCCAGCACAGCGGGTTCTAGTCCTGGTCGGGGCGCCAGATTCTGTCCCGGTTGCCCCTCTTCCAGGCCAGCTCTCTGCTGTGGCCAGGGAGTGCAGTGGAGGATGGCCCAAGTACTTGGGCCCTGCACCCCATGGGAGACCAGGATAAGTACCTGGCTCCTGCCATTGGATCAGCGCGGTGCACCGGCTGCAGCTCGCCAGCCGTGGCGGCCATTGGAGGGTGAACCAATGGAAAAGGAAGACCTTTCTCTCTCTCTCTCTCACCGTTCACTCTGTCTGTCAAAAAATTTTAAAAAAAAAGTGACCATGCATACAAACAGTAGGTTCTGAATTTTCTCCCCTGCAATGCTTATGCAGAAATTAAATGCTGAGATGACAGCTTTCAAAATATGCACAGTAACTAAAAAAGGTAAAAAGTGGGCAGCTTCATCAATTCATTAATGCAGTCATATCTGATGCTAATGATATCTTGATACTTTTTGATAAAGTTCTCTACAGACAAATTGGACACACTACTCATGCCTGCAACAGCACACAGAAATAATGCTCCAAAGATCTACTTAGGATATAGTCTGTACAATGAGTATTCTTTTTATTTGAACGATTTAGTTGTTTATGTGAAAGGAAGAGTCAGAAAGAGAGAGAGAGAGAATCTTCCATCAGCTGGTTCACTCCCCAAATGACAATGGTCAGGGCAGGCACAGGCTGAAGCCAGGAGCCAGGAACTCTACCTAGGTCTCCCATGTAGGTGCAGGGGCCCAAGCACTTGAGCCATTTCCTGCTCCATTTCCAAGCACATTATCAGGGAGCTGGATTGGAAGGGAAGCAGCCAGGTTTCAAACTGGCACTCACTCAGAGGGAATGCAAGCTTTGCACGCAATTGGCTTAACCACTGCACCACAGTGCTAGCCCCACAATGAGTTTTCTTATTCGAAACTGACTTATCTGGCCATTCTCTGTTTTCAAAGAATTATTTATGCAGTTTCTGCCTTCACTAAGTCCATAAACACCTGTCATTTGCATCTGACCTTCTACATTATCTTTAACTAAACAAATGTCAAATTACCAACCTTGGTCATGTTTTATTTCTATCTTACTTTACATATTTGCTATCATATCCTTGACCAGAGAGAAAACATCTGGACATTCCTGAAGCTTCAGAGAGCAGGGATGGCATTGACATTTTTTGTACTACATTCTTCTTTCTCTGGCTTATTCAAAGCATTTTAAAACATTTTATTTCAGAATATTTTTATACTAACAAAAATTGTGATGTAGTAATACAAAGAATCGCCATAGACTCCATGCCCTGCTTCTCATATTAACACCTCTTATTAGTATATTTGTTACAATTAATGTATCGTATCCAGCTTTCCCTCATTTTTTTAATCCAAACTTTGATTTCTCCCACTTCCTCCCAAGCTCTGGTAATCCACATTCTGTGTTCAGACTGAGGTTTGCTTGCTTGTTAGCAGGAGCTAAAAACAAACAAGGGAGAACATTCAGTATTTGTCTTTCTGTGTCTGGCTTATTTCGCTAGACATGATGTCCTCCGGTTCCAGCCATTTTGCTGCAAATAACAGGATTCTATTCTTATTTATAAACAACCTCACTACTATGAATATATATCCAAAAGATATGAATCATTGTATCAGAGATACCATCCCTCCATGGTTATTTGCAGTACTGTTCACAATATCAACATATGGAATCAACCAAGGTGCCCATCATCAAATGAATAAACAAAATGTGGTATGAACAGAATAGTATTCAAAGCATATTTTCACAATATGCTGACACCTTTCTTTTTCAACACTTTCAAAAAGTACTGACACTTTTTCCTTTTCTTTCTCTTTTTCTTTTGAAGAGAAGTAATTTGAAATAGGAAAAGCAGAAAGTTTGCCAGGGAGAAAAGTAGAAAGAAAACAGAGACTGGTAGAAAAACAGAGATAAGGAAAACAAAGAATCAAATACTTAAGTACTGAGAAGCTAATAGTTGGTAGATGGGCTAATGATGAGTGTTGGCTTACACAACTACTTCATCACTTTGGTTTGCTTCATTCACAGGGAAGGATCTATAGAAGCTTTTCCTTAAAAATGATTAATTTATAAAACAAGCATAAGGAGTCAAACTACTTTTTCCTCTATAAACCTCACAGGAACTTTTTCCATGACAGCTATTTTTCATCTTTATTGTTTCGCTATGAAAACTGTTCCTATACTTTTATATCAAATATCACATTGTTTCCCAAAAAAAGAACAGTTTTTGGCTGGTTGCTCTGGTGGTGCTTGGTCCGCACACACACACACACACACACACACACACTTTTATAAATAAAATCCTACTCTTGCCTATAATTACTTAGCTTGTCATGTTGACAAAGCATCTCAAGGACTCCTTGGCATGCAAAGTTGCATACAAATGGGAATTTTAGAGTTTTAGACCAAGATGTTACACTGAAGTTATATGGAACTTCCTTTAACTCCTTCCAGACCTCCGCACTGTCTGCCACGTCCTGTGAAAGTGACTCTCCGTTCCCAGTGCATCCAGGAACCGCTGAGTGCTGCACCAAAGAGGGCCTGGAGCGGAAACTTTGTATGGCGGCCCTGAAACACCCACCACAAGAATTTCCTACCTACGTGGAGCCAGCTAATGATGAAATCTGTGAAGCATTCCGTCAAGATCCAATGGAATTTGCTGACAAGTAAGCTGTTTCCATCATGAGTAGAACTTTAAGGCATAAGAAATCAGAAATGAATCTTATCTAACCCCCCAACACACACACCTCTCTCACAGTAACCAGACAACTTCCCATAAAGAGAACTTGACTCTCACCCAAGGAGCCCTTCCCCTCCTCAGTGCAATTGCTGTGACTGCTTTTCTGACTCACAGAGCAACTCCACTATCCCAACTTCCACCCACCAGCCCTAGTTCTACTATCTGAAGCAGAATCACTTGGGTCCCCTGGCCACATGACACACATTCAAACACGGATCAGTACCTATTGATTCCTCTCATACTAGAGATTCTTGCATACTCCGTATAATAGAAGCAACTTTATTGTTGTACATAGTTCAAATTCTTAATTTCCAAAAAAGTACAAGAAATGAGTTTTTTCTTCAATTCTCCATGCCACCAGAAACAGTTGTGAGCATGACATATGTACTATAAAACTGAATGTGTAATTTTGAGCTTATTGTTAAACATACAGGAGAAACCACATTATAGTCTGATAATGTTCATCTTAGAAGGCCATAAAAATGAAAAAAGAGAAAAATCAAATAGTTATTATATAAAATTATATATGTAAACTGAATTTGTTATTCAAATTGGTCACATTTTGTATAGAATTGGTTGGCTTACCCATTCCTGTGAATTTTCAAAAATGACTTTTCCTAAGATTTCAGTCTTTCAGATAGAAAAATACTTGTTTCTGAAATTTAAAATGGCTTCTTTCAACAAATATATAAACCTTTTCAAAGCAATTATCTAGACTAACAACTGATACAAGTAACAGATGGTAAATCCAGGGGCCGGCACTGTGGATCAGCAGATTAAGCCAGTGCCAGAAGTGCTACATCCCATCTGGTTGCCAGTTCAAGTTCTGGCTGCTCCTCTTCTGATCCAGTTCCCTGCTTATGCACCTGGGAAAGCAGCAGAAAATGGACCACATGCTTGGGCCCCTGCACCCATGTGAGAGACCTGGAAGAAGTTCCTGGCTCCTGGCTTTCGGCCTTAGCTGGATCTGGCCATTATGGCAATCTGGGGAGTAAACCATCGGATCAAAGTTACCTCTCTCTCTCTCTCTCTCTCTCTCTCTCTCTCTCTTTCTCTCTCTCTTTCTCTCTCTCTTTCTCTCTCTCTTTCTCTCACTCTCTCATTCTCTCTCTCTCTCTCATTCTCTCTCTCATTCTCTCTCTCATTCTCTCTCTCATTCTCTCATTCTCTCTCTCATTCTCTCTCTCATTCTCTCTTTCTCTCTCTCTCTCTCTGTCCTCTAATTCTGCTTTTCAAATAATAAATAAATCTTTTAAAAAAAGGGTAAATACATTCACGAAAACTAGTTTAATCAGCGGTTTAATTCATTAACAGCTACCATGGACAAGGCACCTAGCTGAACACTGTACAAATAAAGGGACAAATGGCCTCTCAAGATGACCACGAGGGAATTCAGAAAAGAATCTTAAATGAATACATTGACTACAAGTTTTAAGTATAAGTCTGTTTCTAAATCCAGAACATGCATCCGGCCTTCATCAAAATACTTGTGAAAAAAATCCAGTTTTACTTTCCCCAAATTTTTTGACCAGTCCTGTTTTCCTTCCCCGCCTGCTCCCCTCTCCCCAGATTTCTGTATGAATATTCCAGTAATTATGGACAAGCTCCTCTGCCAATCCTAGTCAGTTACACCAAAAGCTATCTCTCCATGGTCGGGACCTGCTGCACCTCTGCCAGCCCAACCGTATGCTTTCTGAAAGAGGTAGGCTCCATTTTGCTTATGTTATCATTATTGTGCTGCATTCTTTTTCCTTGGTAATAACATTCCTTTTCATCATTGGGAGACGCTGAGGTTCTACAAGAAGTAAATATCTCTAACACACATCTTCACATTTTGTTACTTGGAAAATAAACATACCATCTCTGGAAAAGAAATTTTGATAGTTTTTGGTCAGTGTTCAGTTTTACATTAATTGATGATATAAAATTAATGTTCTGTTTTTGCCATATATTCACACTACCTTCAATGGATCTTGACCACCTAATGAGATTCTCTCTCTCACGTTTTAGAGACTCCAGATTAAACATTTATCACTTCTCACCACTTTGTCAAATAGAGTCTGTTCACAATATGCCGCTTATGGGAAGGAGAAATCAAGACGCAGGTATGGATTAGGCACCATGACCTAATTTAAAAGTTTGGTTCTGCACCATCTATCCCTAATATTAAGCTTCTCTAAAAATATGTTTATAATAGAAGATAGAAAACACAGTCTTATGTTCCAATGATCTTCAGAGATATGACACCATTCTTTTCTCTGCACAGCGAATAAGCAATAAAGAACAAAGCTAGCTGGTAAAAGACACAAAATGAAGGAACCTAAGTAAAATAAGCCAATTGCAAAAGAACCAATATTCTATAATTCCACTTATGTAAAATATTTAAATTAATCAAAATTATGGAAACAAATTAGAAAGGTAGTTGCCAAGGGTTGGGTACGGGTAGGAGAACCAGCATTTAATGGTTATAGAGTTTCCATTTTGTAAGATGAAAAATTTGCAGAGATCCATTGTACAACAATGTGAATATAATTAACACTACTGAACTGTATGTCTTATAAACAATTATGATAATAAATACTGTGTTTTCAAAATTTTTAAAAATAGTAATTATGTCCCAGTGTATTGATACAGAAATAGCATTAGAAGATATTCCTGATATGTGAAAATGAAAATAGTATACAATAATCCTTTTCACATATGTAAGCCTTATAAATTATTTAATGATTATTTAAGTCTATGGTGTAGGGCGATCAATGTTATTACTTCTTTTATTTTAGCTATAGTTACTAGGTGAAATTATAAAACTTTTTTTAAAGAGTCCACAAAATGCCACAAAAATGTAACATTAGCCTTGGGAATAGAGTCACTAGTACTTTCTTTATTGCTTTTATAAACCTAACATTGTGGCCGGCGCCGCGGCTCACTAGGCTAATCCTCTGCCTTGCGGCGCCAGCACACCGGGTTCTAGTCCCTGTCGGGGTGCCAGATTCTGTCCCGGTTGCCCCTCTTCCAGGCCAGCTCTCTGCTGTGGCCAGGGAGTACAGTGGAGGATGGCCCAAGTGCTTGGGCCCTGCACCCCATGGGGGACCAGGAGAAGCACCTGGCTCCTGCCATCGGATCAGCGCGGTGTGCTGGCCACAGTGGCCGTTGGAGGGTGAACCAACGGCAACGTAAGACCTTTCTCTCTGTCTCTCTCTCTCACTGTCCACTCTGCCTGTCAAAAATAAATAAATAAATAAATAAATAAATAAATAAACCTAACATTGTAAGGCATGCTTCAACTAGGTAGATTTGGCCAAAGAGCAGAGTCATTGGAGGTGGCTTAATTTTGAGTCTGTGGCTTTGATACATAGGATCTGCCACATGCCAAATGTACTCTGTGCAACTGGTGAGGGGAAAAGTTAAAACTATGATGTAATCCTGCAGATAGTGTGTTCATAATGAGGCCAGGAAAACTGCGAATGTCAGTAAGCTAACAAATTCACTTTTACATGTCTAGCCATCTCATAAAACTAGCTCAGAAAGCACCTACTGCTGCTCTAAAGGAAGTTTTGCCGCTAGCTGAAGATATCACTAATATTCTTTCCAAATGCTGTGAGTCTACCTCAGAGGACTGCATGGCCAAGGAGGTAAGAATCCTTATCACTACTGTCATCATCAGTGACGAGTACTGATTGCCAGGGGCTCTTCTACACTGCTGTTCATGTGTATTATCTTAATGGATCCTCTATCAAAAATACTCATATATGCTTAACTATATGTACTCTATGAAAAAGACTAGTATATGCTTAACTATTACAGATAAGGAAACGAAAGTGTAGTAAGGGTGAGTCATTTGAGACCACCCAACTAGTGTCAGAGGCCACGGGCAATAACAAGATTATCTCACACCCAAGCCCCTACTCTACTGCATTTTGTGCAGTAAATATTTTTTGTGGTATCAGGCTATAAAGTTTATTACTTCTTTTATCTGTAGCTACTAAGTGAGTTTAAAAAATGTTTTTTTGAATGACTCAAGAGGGGCTGGCATCGTGGCTCACTTGGTTAATCCTCTGCCTGCGGCACCGGCCTCCCACATGGGCACCGGGTTCTAGTCCCGGTTGCTCCTCTTCCAGTCCAGCTTTCTACTGTGGCCCGAGAAGGCAGTGGAGGATGGCCCAAGTGCTTGGGCCCTGCACCCGCATGGGAGACCAGGAGGAAGCACCTGGCTCCTGGCTTTGGATGGGTGCAGCACCGGCCGTGACAGCCATTTGAGGAGTGAACCAATGGAAGGAAGACCTTTCTCTCTGTCTCTCTCTCTCACTGTCTAACTCTGTTAAATAAATAAATAAAAAGAAAAAGAAAAGACTCAAGAGCCAAGAAACATAACCTTGGCTTATGAATAAAGAGATATTTGATTGTAATAAAAATTAGATATTTAAGTTGAATAGAATTTAAAATTCAGTTCTTTAGTCACATGAGGCATATTTCAAATGTACAATAGTACTGGACAGTTCAGACAGCAAGCATTTTCATTATCACATCAAGTTCTATCACACCATGCTACAAACTAATTAGAGGCCACTAATGTTCCTATAATTTGTTTTATAATTTGACAACCATTTCAAGGTTTTTCATCTTTTTCAATTTGTGTAATCCTTGCAAGTAGATGCAAATTGGAATGGTTGCTTTAGAGGAAGGTCAGTCTCCAAGGAAAGTCTTGTCGATGTCTTTATTAATTGTGTTGCCTGATCTTTTTCCATTAAAAATACTTGTCTCTTAATAAATATTTCTCTATAATGATGTTTACTGGCTAAATAGGATTCTACTATATATATCTGACATATAGATCTACAAAATATACCATATTTTTATTTGACCAATTCTCTAATTATTATATTTGGGTTGTGTTGGTTTTTCAATATTTTAAGCCACACTGCAGTTAAGAGTCTTATCTTATAGTTAAGAATTCCCTTTATCTATAATTGTTTTCTGGGTATAACTTCTTAGAAATGAAATTTTATATTTTTAAGGCTTTTAGTACATACTCATGAATTACCTTCACAAATAATAAATCAGTTTTCTTTCTGCAGGTATTCACATTAACTTATATGAACATGATGCCAGAGCTTGTCAATCTGTGCATGTCTTATTTTTAATTAGCTCAAGCAGAAAACTAACAATTCCCAAATTTCCCCAACTTTATATAGCTTCCTGAGCACACAGTAAAAATATGCGACAGCCTATCCACAAAGAATCCCAAGTTTGAAGAATGTTGTCAAGAAAAAACACCCATGGACATTTTTGTGTGCACTTACTTCATGCCAGCTGCCCAGCCTCCTGAACCAGCAAATGTCGAGTTGCCCACAAGTAAAGATGTGTGTGATTCAAAAAACATCAACGTCATGGATCAGTAAGTAGAAGTGACATGAAAGGTGTTTCCACTTTAAGTTCACTTGGACAAAAAGGAATCACAGTGTGGCCCAGATTGAGGGAAGGTAAGCTGTCACTCAGTTCAATGTAGCCAAATATTTGTATGCTGCTCAAGGATTTCAGCATTTGTTATTTGATTGTAAGTAGCTTAAATTCCAAAAACCCGATCTGTTGTAAAGAACAGCTAACTTTAATAGGAAGTTTTGGATGTGCAGGAAAAAAAAGCTTTGGGTTTCTAACTGTGGCTCTTCTCACTACTGGACATGGCCTAAAGAAGACTTGAACTTTCTGAACCTAAGTCTCCTCTTAATTAATGTGAGAATTATCCTTGCCTTACATAGCACACATGTTGCTAATGAAAAATGCATCTAGAAACACAGGTGGAAGTCAATGTCTATTTTTATGCAAAATGCTATGTACATATAAAATACATAATGGCACCAGAAATGTTTGTCATACCATTAATGAGTCTACTCTATAACTTCTAGATCAGAGTTTTAAATCAAAAACTTTAGTAAATCAATCTTTGTAATAGCACACGAACAAAGCACAGCCAAATATATAATAATTCAATTTGTTTTTACAGTATTGGTATTCACTACTATTGGATTGTAAAAGAATTAATAGGAAGAAACAGTAAACCTTTATCTTTTTTCCACCCATTTGAAAAAGGTCCTAAAGGAAATACACCCTGTGTTGCATACACTATGAGTATGCAGCATGAAATATCAATCAGCAATGTCAGACAGCAGAATTTAGATAGGACTGGAAATCTACCTTTCTAAAATGCTCATTGTTTTTATAAGTATTTAGACAGCAGTGAGGTAAAATATAACAAAAGAATATACATTAAACCATTTTCATAGAAAAGCCATATCACCTACTTACTAGATGTTTCATATAGAGTCACTTGTATTACATTTACATAAACAGTTTCAAATGCATTTAAAATATTATATTTTAAATATAGACATCTAACTATTGTCATAATAACTTCAAAGTATTAACATAATTTATTGAAAATAATAAATACCCAATATTTGGAACTACTGCACAATCCAGTACTTGGAATCAGTTTTGGAAAAATCTTTAAGATGCAGAAACCAGGTGCTCTGCCTTTATGATAGCTACCTCGCATGTCACACGTACCTATTTACACTTTACAGTGTATTATCTTCTACTCTCTCTCCTGCCAGGTATACTTTTGAACTAAGTAGAAAGACTCACATTCCTGAAGTGTTCCTCAGTAAAGTCCTTGAGCCAACCCTGAAAAGCCTCAGTGAATGCTGCCACTCTGCTGACTCCACTGCCTGTTTAAATGCAAAGGTATCAATTGAAGGATTTCCTTTATCCACCAAGTGGGTCAAGGATTGCAAATCACAGCTCAGGAATCAAACCTATCCCATTGTCTATTCATATATGACCTCCAAGCTAAGAATGGAAACATAGTTTTACATTTCTAAATCATTCATGTAAAAAAAATCAAAAAAGATTAATATATCACACATGAAAATCAAATTTCAATATTCATAATAGTTTCACTGGAACACAGTCGATCAAACATCATTGTTTATACACTGTGTGTCCCTGACTTAAAAAAAAAAAAAAACTGAGTAGTTACCATAGTGACTACAAAAAACCTGCACAGCCTGAACTATTTACTACCTGGCTTTATGCAAATAAAAAGTTTGCCAATCTCTAATTTATATAATAAATATCTACACCAATGCCATGTAAAGAATTCTGATTTGATGGTCTCATGAGTCAGTGTTTCAAGATAAATAATTCTGTTATTTTATTATTGTTTCCTCTTAGGGTCCTGTACTGAAAAAGGAAGTATCTTCATTCATTGACAAGGGACAAGAATTATGTGCAGGTTATTCAGAAAATACATTCACTGAGTACAAGAAAAAGTAAGGGATATGTTTTGACTATCTTCTAAATATATCAATAATATTTGGCTACTATGGTGATCTGAAAGTACAGTTGAAAATTTAAGATATTCTACATGAAGAATAAAAAATAAGGTGCAATTAAGAGTTTTTAAAAGCAGTCAAAATCTAGTATCTGTGCAAGAAAAAATCCACAAAATCTAGCATCTGTGTAAAAAAAGTCCAGTGTATCAGTGTATCAGATGAGTGGCCAATTAGAACATAGCCACAGAAACATAAATACAATGTATATGTGCAAGGACTTGGTTCAAAACAGCAAAATTAGGACAAATTGCCAACATTCCTGTCCCAAAGTTATTTGAAAAATTGCTGTATATGAACTGAAGAACTATTAGACTACTAAAATTTGCCTACCTTCATGGCATGTTGCTCAACATGGAAACAAACTTTCAATACAGGTAATGTCAGCACACCCCATCATGAACTTCCCAAAAACTGGAGCCAATGCTAATTATTAATAATGTGATACAATAGTCATATTTATCAATTAAGAATAAGAAAAATCACTTCTCTATAAATAAGCATTAACACCAAAATATTAGGATAATGAAAAAAGTTGTATTGGCTTCGTGGAAAGGGTTGCAATTTAAATAATTTCTCAGATCCTCCATTTCAAATAGTTTTGAGCAACCCAGACCTCATGCAAACACAAACAGAACTCCACCAAGAGATATTTCTGAAGAACCCCCAAAGTAAAACACCTTCCTCAACGAACCACAAGATGTCCAGTAGCAAAGTTCAAAAAAGAAAAACAAAAGACTAAGACTTCACTTCAGAATTTCTCAGGTATCAGAAAGCTGCATAACTGAGTAACATAAGAGAATATTACAAAAGCAGAATAGAAACTGTTAAACACAGTGATCCACATCAAGTTCTCTGCTAACAGCTTTGAACTCGAGGATCACACAGGGCAACTGAGTAATTATTCAGTCTCCATTGCAGATGAACCTGTAGCAGAACTGATATGGAGACTACTTAGTTGATGTATTTAAAATCCACTGCTGGTCCCTCCCCCTCTATTTTTGTTCTCGCAGTTCCTCCCCACTCTAACTTGCCTTCTCTCCCAGCTCAGACCTACTCATTTTGTGGATGCTTCTATGAACCAGTTCCCCCTTCCCTCTTGTGCCTTCCCAGCATCCACCTTGCCCATCCCAACTCTGGATAAATTTGGATCTCTTCCACGTCCACTTGTCCACTACAGGGCTGGCAAGGTTTTCTGGAAAAAAGTGTTAAAAACCAGGGCAGCTGTCCTTTATGAGGGCACCATAAGACGTATGAGGAAAGAAAACTTAAGGTTGTATGAGCTCCTGTGAAAAACACATTCCTTAAGGAACGTGAAATCTAAAACTGGAGAGAAGGTGAAATGTTAGAGAAAATGGAGGGCCACCACGTTGAAATACTGAGCAAGTGAGGAGGGAAAGTGTGGAATTCAAATTCAGCAGCAAAGCGTGTGTTTACTTTCATGATCTTTAACAGGGCCTGGGTTTCCCTCTCTCATCTTAAATTGTGTCACCAGAAAGCATTCCACAGGTATAGGAGTTTCTTGAGGAAGGCAAACATTTCTATTTTCACTTTTTTTAAACCATAAAAAAATCTGTAGTGGCTATCATTTTGTATTAGAAATGCTTGTAAAATACATCTGATGAAACCTGACATAAATAACGTTTTTTCAGACTATCCCAGCAACTAAGAGCAAAGCTGCCAGAGGCAACATCCGCGGAACTGGCAGAGTTGGTGGAGAAACACTCCGACTTTGCCTCCAAGTGCTGTTCCATAAACTCACCTCCCAATTACTGTGACTCAGAGGTAGGAAAACCTTACCTTCTACCGATTGCTGTGGATGACGTGAAGAACCCATGCGTTCATTTTTTATTGAAATGCAAATATGTGAGGCTTTTCCTGGTGTCACTAGAAGCACTGTCTCTAATGAATTTAAGAATCATTGTTTCTACATATTATACTCATTTAAAAGCAAACCGAGGAAATGGCATTGTGGCTCATGAGGTTAAGCCTCTGCTTGTGAGGTTCACATCCTGTATCAGAGCGTGGTTTGGAGTTCCAGCTATTCCATGGTTCTGAACCAGTTTCCTGGGAGGGAGCAGATGATGGGACAAGTACTTGCACTCCTGACACCCATGTGGAAAACCTGGACAGAGTTTCTGGCTCCTGGCTTCCGCCTGGCCTATCACTGGCTGTTGTAGGTATTTGATGACTGAACCAGCAAGTGGAAGATATCTCTCTCCTTCCCTCCTTCTCTCTCTGCTTTCAAAATAAATAAATATTAAGACATTTATGGGGCCGACCCTGTGGCGCAGCAGGTTAAAGCCCCAGCCTGAAGTGCTGGCATCCCATATGGGCACCGGTTCTAGTCGCGGCTGCTCCACTCCCAATCCAGCTCTCTGCTATGGCCTGGGAAAGCAGAATATGGCCCACGTCCTTGGGCCCCTGCACCCACATGGGAAACCCAGAAGAAGCTCCTGTCTCCTACTTTGAATTGGCTGAGCTATGGCCATTGCAGCCATTTGAGGAGTGAACTAGCAGATGGAATACCTCTCTCTCTCTACCTCTCTCTGAAACTCTTTCAGATAAATAAACCTTTAAAAAATAAAGACATTTATAATACGACAAAATGTTATACATTAATAAACAAAATGGGTTGTAAATACTGGCAGCAAAGAACAGTATAGTGTTTTCTAGTCTGTAGTTTGTAACCTACTGGTACCTTTTTAGAATGAAGAATGAGAACATGATATAACTCCCAGAGTCTCTCACATAATACAAGTAAATATTTCATGAAAATTTTATTTCATATAAATGTGTGTATTTACATAGCTATATATGTATATACATTATATACACACACACACACACAGGCAGTTTGATGAAGGAAATACTTTTAGAAAATAAAATGGAAGTGATGACATCAGCTTAATTAAACAAAGTTGAATTTAGCATTTTTGTAAAAAAATGCAAGGAAAAAATGCAGTAAACAATTTCTGAAGATCACATAAATGTTTCTTTACCATAAATTTTCTAAAAGTCAAAGAAAGATTGTTAAGGATATTGAAATGTGCTTCATTTTTAATTACAGATTTTTCTTTTATCACGTGGGTTCCAACTCTGAAAGATTCAGAAGTTAGAGCTCTATAGCTCTTCTAATTTCCCTCTACAATCCTCCCAAATCTTATAGTTCTTGGATTCATCGTCATTTCATTGTCTCTCTTCTGAGCAAGCATTTGGCTTGTTTGTTAAGATGCCCATTAAGATTCTCCTGTCCTATGGCAGAGGACCTGGGTCTGATAACCAACTCAGGTTTCCTGTTCATGCAGACTCTCAGAGGCAGCAGTGACCACCCAAGTAATTGGGCTCCTGCCACCCATGTGGGAGATCTGGCTTCAAGCTTCAGTCCCAGCTGGGACAGTTGCAGGCATCTGGGGAGTGAATCCATGTATGAGAGCTCACTTGTGTGCTCACATTTTTTCTCTCTCTGCCTTTCAAGTAAATTTAAAAAATTTAAAATCAAAATATCCCTTTTCTTCCTCCCTATCTTTCCTCCCACAGGTTCCTTCCCACAACCCCCTTTTCTCATTCTCTCCTTCTCTCTCTCTCTTAAATGTATTTACATAGTTGCCAGATCTTTTATTTCTTGTGCAAATCAGAGAAGGTTCTAGTCAGAGGTTTGATTTTCTAAGGATTGGTGTTTTGTAACCCACTGCATCTCAGGCCCATTGCTTTTCTCCTGCAAATCAAGGTGTGAGGCTGCTCCCTTGTGTTTCAGCTGTCTTTACTTATAAAGCAAGTGTGAGGGAAGGGAGCATCCAGGTTAGACTGTCCATGATTTGCAGACCTGTGTAATGCTCAACTTCTGCCATTTTCCTAAGTGTCTGATTTCCTTCACCAAGAAACCAAATGTGCCCTCCTCCCTGGAGGAATATTTTATCCACCGTCTTCAGAGTCAGCCCATTGGTTCACATCGTCCATTTACCTGTTACTCTTCCGCCATCATTTCCAGTACTTAGAATACTCAGAGCATAAGGGCAACCATTCATCTGACCTTAATGCTTTGTTACTATAGAGTGTTAAGTAAACAGTCTAATTTGGAGGCACTAGTGACAATTTAAAAATTTTGTTATCTCGTCCACTGCATTTCCAGAATATAGCGACATGATGAGAAATAAGTTTATGCCACATTATACTCACCCTTTGCTCAACTCTTTCTGAAGTTCATGGTATTGAGTTTCATCCCTTCCCACTCTGCAGATGACTGCTGAGATTTTTCTGACCACAATTTCACTATCGCTCACTTTGTTGTCTGCTGGGAAAGGAGCATTTATAATCCACTTGTGACTCATCATTTTTCTGTGTCTCTACAGAAAAGTAATTTAACTGGAATGTAAAGATCAATGCTATTTAAGCCAATAATTTAATACCTAACAGAGGATCTTTTAAGTGAAAGAACTTACATGAATTTTTGCTCATTTATTAAACCATGAAAGAACTAAAGCCTACTTTTTATTACAACACACTTGAAAATACCAAGAGATTAATAAAATCACAGATGTAGCAATGTTGGAAGAAAACCATGACAATCATCTAGCATAATTCTCCCTCGGTTAATCCTTTCTAGAGGTCATTTAGCTTTCCTTTAAATACTTTTTTATAGAAAACTTGTATTTAATAAATATAAATTTCAAAGTACAACTTTTGGCTTATAGTGGATCTTCTACCCATAACCACCCTCCAACCCACAAACCATCCCATCTCTTACTCCCTCTCCCATCCCTTTCTTCATTAAGATTCACTTTCATTTTTAATTATCTATATACAGAAATCAACTTTATACTAAGATTTCAACAGTTTGCACCCACAAAGGTATACAAAGTATAAAGCACTGTTTAAAGACTAGTTTTACTGTTAATTCACATAGTACAACACATAAAGGACAGAGATCCTACATGGGGAGCAAGTGCACAGTGACTCCTGTTGTTAACTTAACAATTGACACTTATATATGATGTCAGTAATCACCCAAGTCTTTTGTCATAAGCTGCTAAGGCTATGGAAGACTCTTGAGTCCACAAACTCTGACCTTATTTAGACAAGGCCATGATCAAAGTGGAAGTTCTTTCCTCCCTTCAGAGAAAGGTCTATTCTTTCCACTGGGATCTCACTCGCGGAGATCTTTCATTTAGGTTATTTTTTTTTTTTTTGCCAGAGGGTCTTGGCTTTCCATACCTGAGATACTCTCATGGGCTTTTTAGCCAGATCCAAATGCCTTAAGGGTTGATTCTGAGGCCAGAGTGCTGTTTAGGTCATCTACCATTCTATGAATCCGCTATGCATTCTGCTTCCCATGTTGGATCATTCTCTCCTTTTTAATTCTTTCAATTATTATTAGCAGACACAAGTCTTGTTTATGTGATCCCTTTGACACTTAATCCTATCTTTTTGATCAATTATGAACTTGAACTGATCACTTGGACTAGTGAGATGGCATTGGTACATGGTACCTTAATGGGATTGATTTGGAATCCCCTGGCACGTTTCTAACTCTACCATTAGGGGTTAAGTCTGAGTGAGCATGTCCCAAACTGTAAATCTCTGCCCTCTCTTATTCCCACTTTTATATTTAACAGGGATCACTTTTCAGTTAAATTTAAACATCTAAGAATAATTGTGTGTTAATTAAAGAGTTCAACCAATTGTATTAATAGAACAAAAAAATACTAAAAGGAATAAATTAGTAAGTTGTTCCTCGACAGTCAGGACAAGGGCTGATTAAGTCATCATTTTTTCTCATAGTGTCCGTTTCACTTCTACAGGTTTCCTTTTAGGTGCCCAGTTGTCACAGATCAGGGAGGACATATGATATTTGTCCCTCTGGGACTGGCTTAATTTACTCAGCATGATGTTTTCCAGGTTCCTCCATTTTGTTGCAAATGACCAGATTTCATTGTTTTTGACTGCTGTATAGAATTCTATAGAGTACATGTCCCATAATTTCTTTATCCAGTCAACTGTTGATGGGCATTTGGATTGATTCCATGTCTTAGCTATTGTGAATTGAGCTGTAATAAACATTGACGTGCAGATAGCTCTTTTATTTGCCAATCAAAATGCCAAAGACATTCTTCTCAGATCTGGAAAAAATGATTCTGAAATTCATATGGGGGCACAGGAGACCTCAAATAGCTAAAGTAATCTTGTATAATGGAAACATAGCCAGAGGCATCACGATACCAGATTTCAAGACATACTACAGGAAAGTTATTATCAAAACAGCATGGTACTGGTACAGAGACAGATGGATAGGGGCCTGCACTGTGGCACACTAGGTTAAATCCTCTGCCCATGGTGCCGGCATCTCATATGGGTGCCGGTTCTAGTCCCGGTTGCTCCTCTTCCAGTCTGGCTCTCTGCTGTGGCCTGGGATAGCAGTGGAGGATGGCTCAAGTCCTTGGTCCCCTGCACCCACATGGAAGACCAGGAAGAGACTTCTGGCTCCTGGCTTTGGATCGGCATAGCTCTGGCTGTTGCGGCCATTTGGAGACTGAACCAATGGAAGGAAGGCCTTTCTCTCTGTCTGTCTCTCTGTGTGTGTGTGTGTGTCTTTAAACTATACCTGTCAAATAAATTAAAAAAACAGATGGATAGACGAATGGAACAAAATAGAAACACCAGAAATCAGTTCAAACATCCACAACAAACTCATATTTGATCAAGGAGCTAAAACCAATTCCTGGAGCAAGGACAGTCTTTTCAACAAATGGTGTGGGGAAAACTGGATTTCCACATGTAGAAGCATGAAGCAAGACCCCTACCTTATACAAAATCCATTCAACATGGATTAAAGATCTAAGCCTACGGCCCAACACCATCAAATTATTAAAGAACATCGGAGAAGCCCTGCAAGATATAGGCACAGAGAGACTTCTTGGCAAAGACCCCAGAGGCACAGGCAGTCAAGCCAAAATTAACATTTGGGATTGCATCAAACTGAGAAGTTTCTGTACTGCAAAAGAAATAGTCAGGAAAGTGAAGAGGCAACCGACAGAATGGGAAAAAAAATATTTGCAAACTATGCAACCGATAAAGGATTAACAAGAATCTATAAAGAGATCAAAAAACTCCACCACAACAAAACAAACAACCCACTCAAGAGATGGGCCAAGGACCTCTATAGACATTTTTCAAAAGAGGAAATCCAGATGGCCAACAGACACATGAAAAAATGTTCAGGATCACTAGCAATCAGGGAAATGCAAATCAAAACCACAATGAGGTTTTACCTCACCCCGATTAGAATGGCTCACATACAGAAATCAACTAACAACAGATGTTGGCGAGAATGTGGGGAAAAAGGGACACTAACCCACTGTTGGTAGGAATGCAAACTGGTAAAGCCACTATGGAACACAGTTTGAAGATACCTCAGAAATCTAAATATAGTCCTTCCACATGACCCAGGCATCCCACTCCTCGGAATTTATCCAAGGGAAATTAAATTGACAAATAAAAGAGCTATCTTTTAAATACTTTTATCTATTTTCATTTATAGGCAGAAATAGCCAATTTCACTGCCAGGTAGCTTCACTGAATTAAGCCTTGCTATTCCTTTCATAATTCCTATGGAACCTACCATGGCTATCACAGTCAATTAGAAAACATCTATTCTCTGTCAATAGCAACTCTTTTACACTTATTGTGTTTTTAATGTCTTGGGCTATTAGACTCAGCTCTCCAAGCATTTTAATGGAGTTTCGTTTTGTTACTGTATAGTGTTCAATAAATAGTCTTTACTTAGCTTGACAAATGGTGTTACATCTTGTTCAATTTTCTTTATAAACCTCAGGAATTCTGATTTCCAATTTCTATGTTTATAGTCTAATCCCAAACCTATTTGCTATTCTTGTTTGTAATAATATGAAAAGAATTTCAAATGATAGAGTAGAATAAAATCTTATTTGTTAAATTCTGCTGAAATATTTTATTATAATTCACACCATGTAAATTATTTAACATAAAAGCTGAAAAAGTTGGATTGTTAGATATTTTGGTCATTATGGACATTAAAACAATTATATGAATTATACCTTTCTTTCATACCAACTTGCTTTTAGTAAATCAAATTTAGGTTAATTTTAGGATGTTTTAACTCCGAAAAATAAAATCACCTTACCTAGAATTTGTTTGCTACTAGCACAATTGGCTATGAAGGTCTCAGTCATTTAAAAAATGAGTGTGTGGGACTTAAATATTATTTTAGATTCTAAAAGAAGTATCACTTCTAAAACCTTTCCCCTGTCCTTTTGTTATCCATTCATCCAGGTAACCCACTTCCCTTTTTGATATTATACAAAACAAACTTGAACACAAAGTGCATGCTTCTTTTAAGCCAGTTGCTTTTCAGTGTATGTTTCAATATAACATACAAAAGGCTCATGGAAAAAATGTGTTATGGAAAAAACTATGCATAGATTTCAAAACTTTGGCACCAAAAAAGGAATATTTTTAAAATTATTTGTTTCAAATCTTTGAGAGTCAGAAAGAGCAAGAGAGTGCAAGCCCAGGCACTGGTTCATTCCACAACAGCCAGAGCTGAGCCAGACCAAATCTAGGAACTCAGTCCAGTTCTTCCCCTTAGGTGGCAGGATCCCAACTGCTTGAATCATCACTTCTGTCACTCAGGGTGAAGTCAGGAGCCACAGACAAGTCTTGAACCCAGGCACTCTGCTATGGAATGTGAGCATCTTCACTGGTGTCTTAACTAATAGGCTAACTCTATACCTCAAGCGCATAATTTAATTCCATTTTTCTATGAATCTTTAGGAGTGCCCTTGCATTACCATTGCAAAAACATTTTTAGTTTCAACTGCCATGGTAAAAAGCCATGTCTAACTTTCTATTTTTCTTGCTTTATGATCATTAAATTTATAGCAGTGCTGCTGCTACTAAGTAGCCAATCTTTCAGTAATTGAAAAGAAGTAGAAGATGAACCCAGTTAAGACTCTTGTGCACATTTACTTATTTATAGCAGAGATTAGACCATCTGCGTTTCCCTCAGCCTTTCTAATCTGATCTCATAGCTAAGTAATAAGCTCACTCTTCTGTGACTTCATGCTATGGCAACATCTGTTGTAACAGCAGTCATTGTAACTCCCAATGCTTAGTGTAGTTGTGTGTCCCCCTACCGTATAAGATTTGGATCACAATTTGTCAAATCCCCTTGTCCCATATTTGCTTGGCAAACTTTTTCCTTAAAAGTAACGCTCATGTAGTTCTTTCACTCCAAGTTACTTATGCCCAGGGGATTGACCTCTGTTCACCATTCTCCGTATTCTTGGTACAACTGCTGAAAGAAGGGCCACAGGGGCTTCTGATCCCCTAAAAATGGTACAATAGGTGAAAATTTACGCCACCCTCATCCTCACCTTGAAATGACCAGAAACTAGAGCAATCAGTGTGATTTTCTTCCGGCTTTCCCAAGGCACTCTCAACGGATCCACCTGTTTGTGTCACAGAGGCCCATTTCCCTTCAGAAAAACACAGTTTAAAAAAAGACAAGACATGAAACATTTTTCCCCTCTTATCTTCATGCAGGTGTGGTATCCGCATGCACTCCTATGAGAACGCATTACTGTGCTTCCTCTCAGATGTGCCAGCAGAGTGCTAGTGGACACCACCTGTGACTTTCCAGAATATTCAGGAAGCCACTGTGATGTGCTGGCGTTGATCATTCCATTCTTGAAAACTGAGATAGATGCAGGTGACCAAGTGGGAGCTGTGCAGAAAAGAGTCTGACAACATAGTAAGCCCATCACCTCCAGTCTCCCACGTCAGGGAAAACTGGCGTTTCCATTTTTGATTTCCCTCTCTGTAGGGACAGATTTCATGACATGTGAAGCTGAACATCAGTATGCTTATGTGTATATATATTCATGGAACAACACAATTCTAAATATTAAGTTCTAGTTTAATTCCCCATTTATATACGGGTTGAATAAGAGTTACAGAGGTTGCATGTTGTAAGGAAAATGTTAAGTTTATTCCATGTTAGTCTGTGACTCTCTCTTTGTCATTGTTATAGATCTCAGCCCTAATTAGGTAATAATGACCAAAGCAAAATATTGGTACTAAAGGACTACTAAACTATTGGCTGAAAATAAAATGATTAATGTTAAAGTAGCAAAAATTATACTAGGGCTGCAGTGTCACTCTGAATTTCCCCCATCTTGCTTTCTGGAAATTTGCCTCTTCTAATTACACTCTTTTTACATCAACATTTCCTTTTTACTAACTCTGTCCACTTTGTATCCAAGTTACTCTTCTTGTTTCAAAACATAATAAATAAGATGCTTTAACTCCTTCCTGGCTATTTTTCTTTAGCCTGCTCTTACAGCCAAGATTCTTGAAAGAAGAATCCTCAGTTCCATTAAGTCTGCAACCCTTTTCAGTCTGGCTTCTGAGCGTACTGTACCACAATCAATATATTCATACCAACAATCTCCTCCTTGCTGAATTTCATAAACAGTTCTCAGTCCTTATGTGCCTTCTCTGCAAAATACTTGATTCTCACATCTATTCCTTCCTTCCTGACACATTTTCTGTGGCATCAATATTATCACTTTCTGGTTTTTTGTCCTCTTTGATTCTGCCTTTCTTGCTCTTCTCACCCTCCTCTTCTATCCATCCCTTAAGTTTGTTTACCAGAGTTTTCTCCACTCCCCTTCCTCACATTCATGGCGCTGCATTTTCACAGGAGTTCTCACAAACGCCCATGCCTTTGATCTCCAAACCTCTACCTCCAGCCTGCTTTCTCCCCCAGCAGCCTACATTCTGATTCAACTGTCTACAGGCCTCTCCAACAACTTCTTATCCCACAGGAAATTCAAAGGCAATATGGCCAAAACCTCCCCCTAAAACTTACTCTTGTGCTTCCTAACCTTGCAAATATCATCACCATTCACTTCTTTTCCAAGATGATAATTTAGTGATCCTGAGTTCACCTTCACTTTTTCCACACACATCCAATCAAAATCAAATCCCTATCAACATGAACTCAGTATTTCCCAAACTTCCACTCATCTTTGTCAATGTTCTTGGGCCCTAATTTTAAGAAATCTTCTCTGCTGGATTACACCCCCTCATTTGGACTCCCATAGCATTTCCGCTCTATTGCCTCATACCCAATCCCACCTCTGTACTAAGGACAAAATAACCTCTGTAACACACAAAATGGTTAATGCACTCCTGTAATAGCTTTCCATTGCTTCTGAAGTTCAAATGTTTTTTAACAACAATAAAGAACAACAAAAAACTCATGAGTTTGGACCTCTGATTTCCTGGCCAGCCTGACTACGTATCATATCCTTTGCCTCCTGAAATGCTTGCAATTTTCCAAACACATAAAACTTGCTCTTACTTCAAGGCCTTGGCACATAATGACTCAGTTCAGCTTGTCCTATCATTCCTCAGGCTAGCCCTGGCTAAATCTTTCATCTGGCTTTAGGATTGAATTTAGGCAGTCTCCCCTGGGAATATTTCCTTGGCACTTTTGTATGATTCAGTAGCCTACAGACATAATACTCCATTAACAATCTAACATTCTGTTTTCATTGTCAGATTGATGCTGAAATAAAAAATCTCCCAGAGCCCTGATGCAAATGTTGAACATAGGTAAGTTTTTGTTGTTGTTGTTTGTTTTTTAATACAGCATCAATGAATACCACATACTACAATGGGGGAAGGAGATTTTATTAATTATGGATGCAAATTTACTTTCAAATTTACTGATCCCCAGCCTCCTGCTACATCCATCACAACCTCATATACAGGATAATGACAGCATAACCATCATTTAAGGATTTCTGATGCACTTGAGTAGAAAAATGTTGAGTTTATACACAAAGCTCATCAAGTCTAAAACATAACACAGAAGCCTTGTTAGGAAAGAAACATTCTTCAAACTAAAGCAACACTGTTGAAATATAATCACTTATTTAAATTTTATATTTTACCCATTTAAAAGTACTTTCTGTTCTTACTTTATCAGGCATTTTATTTAGATGTAACTCCACACATTAAACTGAAGGTGAACTTAATCTTGCATATTTCCACAAAACTTTTTCTCTCTAGATTCAATTATATTCACGCTAAAGATATTATATCTGAGATTTTTAACTGATGCAAACAATCATTTGGGTTTTCTCCAATTTTAGTTGAATCAGTGATTTTTAATTTTTAATGATGTTAACTGTATTTTGCTGGCTTATGTAATGTGGAAACAAAAGCCCTCCAATACATTGGCTGATGAATTACAGAATTTCATCATATTTAGCTTTTCATTTGTCAATTATTTGAATCATCTAAAGCATTAACAAGGAAAACTAACATTCTGAGAAACAGTATAAGAGAATTGATTCAGGAAACATGTTTCTGGAATCACCTAATCTATATTAGAATTCAGACTTTAATTACCTATCTTTGGGAACTTGAGCAAGTTATTCATATTGTCCAAAATTCACTTTCCTTATTTGGTAAAATGAAAATTTCTACCTCACTGTGTTATTATAATGGCTGAGACTGTAATGTGTATAAAAGCCATAAATATGATTAAAAATAATGAATAATATTGACCAAGCTGTTACTATTGCCTCTACTACTATTATCATCATCACCACCATGAATCTAAACTAAATTTGTTTCTCCTACCCAAAATGTATTGTTGGCTTTTGCCACACACATATTAGATCCTAAAGGAAAAGTGAGTTTCTAAGTAATCCTGGGAATAAAAATCAAAATGCAAATTGCACTTGCAAATACCCTCGACTTAATACCTTGCCTCTGTTGCTGAATTATTCCTGTGTCCACATCTAAGTGAACTAATTTTCCCTTTATTTTAATTCACCTGTTAGATCTCCATAAAGTTAAAATGGCTATATGCAAATTTCCTCACCTCCCTCCCTTATTAAGAAGAAAGGTTGTTTTAAAGCCATGAATTTTGCATCACTGGGCTATGCGATTCCTCAAGAATCCTGAATGCATTTCCTTAGTGTCTAAGATACAAAGGTACTTTAAAACATTGATGGAATTCAGAGCAAAAATAATTCAAAATCCATGCATATGAGAGTTATTCAAGAAGTTCATGGAAAATAAATGAACTTTTTATGAAAAAACTTGCATGGATTTCAATTTTTTTTTACACCAAAATAAACTTGCTTTTAACTCCAGTTTTTTCATGAAGTTTATGAAATACCCTCATATATATATTTTGGGGTTCTAAGATAACAAATTGAAATAAGAGAAAGTCTCCTTTAAAAAGGGAGGAAATACTAATTTGATGGATTTCAAAATATTTCTTTTTAAACTAACAACTTTCAAAGATAGTTTTAGTGCTAACTAAATCAAGAGGTGATTTCAGTGATAGATCAAAGAAATTTCTATTGGAGCAATTTGTATGTTTTGTAGTCATTATCTTCATATTATAAATTTTATGATAATTTTGTGATATATTAGTATATCACTGTGGCCTTTAAATAATCGTCCAATTTCTGTATCAGTCTTTGGCCACCAAAACACAATTTGATTTGGATAGAAATTCTAAAATCATTCCCATATTTCTTCCATTAATTTCAACAATATACATTGACATTGAGCTCTAGTTTGCCAATGTTGATTATGATAAACAGGCATGGATAAAGCTGAGACGCTTCCAACTTCAATTGTATCAAAAATAGTTATGCAGCTTTGGAAAAATGGATTATATCTTTTTAATAAGCCTGCTAGGCTTGGGTTACCTGATATCCAGAAAACACAATCTAACCCTCCTTCTAGGTTTCCAGATACAACCAGCAGATTATTGTCTTAAGTTTTAGGGAAAATGTTGTAACTATTAAATAACCCTGGATTCATTCAGTTGTCAAAAGCACTGCCCCAATATAGCACAGGCCCAGTTGTGAGCTGCTCTGAACCCAGTTATTGTCTTAAATGATTCCAGACTAAGAGCTAAACAACTTTCCTCGCCACCCCAAATAAAGCAGTTTTTTCATCATATTTTAAATTATTCCAGAAGATAGCCATTTTCTTTGATAGTTTTTCTTTCACTACAGCAGGTAAGCACTTCAGTGACAGAAGGAGCACAATATTCAGGGCCTAGCAATTGCTAAAACCATTAGGTGAACTTTGGCTGGCTATGCCTGTGTTTTATAAAAACTTACCTCTTTCGACTCAGGGATTTCAAATGTGTAGAAGCTGAAGCCTTTTGTCTCAAAGTTTTCTGATCCCTAAATACACCTAAAATTCATGTCTTCGGTCAACAGTTCCATGCTATTTCACACCTATGGTCTTCTTACAAGCTTGAGTTGTTGGTTTGACAGTAATTGATCCCCTTCATCAATTTTTTTCTTTAAAAATCCCAAACTTAATATGGCTACATTTGCATATGCCAGTGGAGAAGGAATTATTGTCTCTTAATATATCTCACAAAACCAAGTATTTCTTTTTCCCCTTCAGCTTTGGAAGTATTCCCTAGGTTGTTATAAGGTGAATGAGCCACCTCAGGGTACAGAATTAAGTCTCAAAGCTGTTTTAGATACCTAAAATCACACACAGCATAGAAGGGTGTTCATGCTGTGAGAGAAACCTGAGAACTGAGGCTGAGGGTTCTTCAACAGATTTATGTCTTCCATCTCGTCTAACTCCAAGTCATAGGCACATAGAGGGCAATGAAAGATGGGATTTCTTGTGCCATGCAAATAGAACTGTGATATGATTTTATTATACTTTCTTGGAAGAGGAAAAAAAGGGGAGGCATCTTTACCTTAACACAAAGAAGGTAATTTGACAAAATTCACACTGCTTAGTGTTTGACTAAAATAAAAACTACTGGACTATTATCTCAATTCCTTGATGAGGTAGCAGTGTGTGTATTATGCTAATGTTTCACTTTTTTGCTCTGGTAGTAATTACTCATACTGATAGCACAGAAAAATCACAAACATTATTTTGAAGGGGGAAAAAAAAAAAACTAACCAATGCCTCCTGCCACAATAGTAATTAATGGCTTTAATTGTCACTATTATTTACTTCAGGAATTTATTACTTTTTTAAAAAGATTTTATTTATTTATTTGACAGGTAGAGTTACAGACAGTGAGAGGGAGAGACAGAGAGAAAGGTCTTCCATCTGCTGGTTCACTCCCCCAAATGGCTGCAATGGCTGGAGCTGTGCCGATCCAAAGCTAGGAGCCAGGTGGTTCTTCCTGGTCTCCCATGCAGGTGCAGGCGGCCAAGCACTTGGGCCATTCTCCACTGCCCTCCTGGGCCACAGCGGAGAGCTGGACTGGGAGAGGAGCAACCGGGACTAGAACCCAGTGCCTACATGGGATGCCAGCACCGCAGGCAGAGGATTAACCTAGTGTGCCATGGTGCCGGCCCCTACGTTTTTTTCATTCTGGATCCATGAGGCAGGCCATCATGGATATTTGGGTCATGCTAGACAAGTGTATCTTTGGCATGAATATAAAAAACATATGTATAAGTATAATATAAAAATATAAAAATTCATGTGTTCAGCAGTTTAAGAGTACTTCAGAAAGTCCATAGATGATGGAATTAAGAGGTTATTTTGGCAAAAAAAAAAAAAGAAAAAAAAGAAAAAGAAAAAGAAAAAGAAAAAGAAATCCAAGGGCTGCCACTATGGCGCAGCAGGTTAAAGCCCTGGCCTGAAGCATCGGTATCCCATGTGGGCACTGGTTCTAGTCCCGGCTGCTCCTCTTCCAATCCAGCTCTCTGCTGTGGCCTGGGAAAGCAGTGGAAGATGGCCCAAGTCCTTGGGCCCCTGCACCCATGTGGGAGACTCAGAAGAAGCTCCTGGCTCCTGGCTTCAGATCAGTGCAGCTCCGGCCATTGTGGCCATCTAGGGAGTGAACCAGCAGATGGAAGCTCTCTCTCTCTCTGTCTCTACCTCTCTCTGTAATTCTTTCAAATAAATAAAATAAATCTTTTAAAAAAGGTTATTTTGGCAAAAAAATTGAAATTCATGCACAGTTTTTGCAAAGTATTAATTTTTATGAATTAACAATTTTTGTCTTAAACTTTTATTGTATATTTTATGAGGTACAGTATAAAATTTCAACACATATATCAAGCTAGATGAACTTTTTGAAAACCACTCAGATGGATTTCAAATTTTTTCACCAAAATAAACTTATTTTTAATTCCATTTTTCACAAATTTTTTCTAAAGATTTAAGAGTCAGAGTTACTGAGAAAGAGAGAGAGAGACAGAAATATCTTCCATCTGCTGACTCACTCCCCACATGGCCACAACAATCAGAGCTGGGCCAGGCTGAAGCTGGAAACTTCATCCAGGTCTCCCACACGAGTGGCAGGGGCCCAAGCACTTGGGCCATCTTCTGCTGCTTTCCCAGGTGCATTAGCAGGGAGCTGGATTGAAAGTGGAGCAGCCAGAACAGGAACCAGTGTCCGTATGGGCTGCCAGTGTGAAGGTGACAGCTTTTCATACTATGCTATAGCACCACTGCTCCCCATCCTGCCCTATTTCTAAAGCATTTTCTATAAATTTTAAGTGCGCTTGCACTATGATTGTTGTCCATTAACTTTATTTTTCTAACATACTCATTTTCATTATTCTCATAGTTCTACAGCTGCAGCCACCTTGGGCAGTGACCTCTGCTGGCCTGACCTGAGCACAAGCACTGGGCTTCTGGGGAGACATGTAGGATGCTCCCTACTTCTCCCAGCCACGATGTCTTCTTACAATGATTTGCTACAAAATAAAATGAACTATAATGCAAACCATATACATGACTGAAACTGCTGTTACTCTTCAGCCCTGTCTCTGTGCCTTTGACCGAGACACTCAAAGTAGGCAGCTTCACCCTCACAAATCCCTGCTCTGTTCTAGATCTCTGCTGTTTCCTTCTAAAAGATTCACAACATTAAGCATCCATGTTACAATGACCAACACACCGAACTCCATCCCTGGCTAATTCTCAGGCTCAGCAGGTACCATTAAGGAAGGGTTAGCCATCCTTCTAGCATGGACAGCTGGGAGAAGTCACTTCTGAAAAACAACGGAACAAAACAAAATAAAACCTCCTCCTGAGAGCACCTTCATGCTTCCTGCGGCAGTTTCATGGTGTTTATTAGGTAATTCTGTGTTGTGAAAGGAAAATCTGTGTAGCTGGAACAAGTTTATTTCTCCTGAAAACTCCCAAAAGCAATTTACTGAAGCACAGTTCTATAAGGCATGTTTATTTTTCAGCTTCATTCCATTTATATCAAATATCAGTGATATTTAAATATCTGTGGTATTCCATGTGCCTTAATTCTACATTGTTCTATGCAAGATATTTTCAGAATAAATGTCTCTCCGAAACTAATAAAAAGCCCAGGAAAACATTCTACATGTAGAGCGAATTGCATCAGAGAATTTGAATTCACTTCATAGTAGATACAGAATATAGGATAGAGCTGATGCATAGTTCATGGCAAACATAACCGAAGTCAACTGAAATCATCCCTCTCACTCTTCAAGAGTCTAATCACAGCAAGGAGCATTTCACTAACTGAGACAAGGCCAAGAGCTCATGCGTTAGCTTCCAGGAACTGGGATATAAAATGCCCACTCCCTTGCAGCTTCCATGGCAGACGGTGCAGCCCCCACTCTGACAAAGATCCCAAACTGAGAAATCAACCTCCAGTAGACGCTCTTCAGGTGCCGTGAAGTCAAGAAGCAGCAAACTCTTCACTATATGTTTAGACAGCACTGAACTTTCTTCTTCGTTACTTCTATTAAAAATTAGTTTATTGAAGCTTGAAACTACACTGAGAAGCAACTATTATTGGTAAAACACAAGGAGACGGCGACTCTACAAGGCCAATCAGTGACTCAGGGACACAGAGTTAGCAAATAACAAATTAAGTGCTTGGGTTTCAATTCCAGCGTGGGACAGGCTGATGGGCACACCTGCAGCACATGGACCCTAATCAAAGCAGGTTTGGAAGCCTAACAGTAACTATCAGTTGAAGAGTCCCAGTTACTGCATCTAGTTCTGTTTCTAAATGCATTTAATCACTAGCGCCTTCTCCTTTATTTACCAGTTATTGTTTTACAAAGTTAATTTTGAAAATTCTGCTCGGTTCTTGAGAGGTCATATTTATAAATGATGGATTCCTGCAAACTGATTCATTGTGGTCAAGTACTGGTATACACAGCCAGGTAACACTGTTTTTTTGACACTAACTAGTCAGAGTATTATGTGATCGAAGGAGTGTTTTTGTGGTTCCCACAACTATATTGCCCAGAAAACTTGTGCACCTTTTACCATTTTTCTTAAGAACTGCCGATACAATATTCTGTCACTTTAGTGTGCTCTAATTTCAGATTGTATACATATGAATGTGCCCATATTTGTTTCACTTCAAAGAAGTAGAGATATTTTTGTTAAGACATTGCCCAAATATGCTTACTTCCCAAGGGCTGTCTGCCGTGGAAAAAATGTTTTGAAAATGCTGTCAGCCAAAGCTGATTTCACTCGCTCCCGTCTTACATAAGAAGGCCTCAGTTTTTCATACTTTACTTTGCACTTTCATCCAAAAACCTGTTCTCATCATGAAAAAAGGAAGCTATTCTTTATGTTCGAGAACAGAATTTACAAGTTGTATCAGAGTTCTCCAAAGAAGTAATAAAAGAGAGATAAAAGAAAAACTGGCCTACTCCTCACCGTGTAGTTGGGAAGGTGAAATCCTCAGGGCAGGCTGACAGTCCAGAGTTGCAGGCAAAACTTCTGTGTGAAGTCGTAAGGTAGAGTTCTTTGCTGGGAAACCTCGGTTTTCACTCTTAACGGCCTTCAGCTGATTGGATGAAGCCACTTCTCATTACCAATGGCAATCTTTACATAAAGTCAGCTGGTGGTAATGCTTCATCACATCCAAAACACCATTAGAGCAATGTCTAGATGATTCTTTCACCAAACGAATTGGTGTCAGAGCTGAGCCAAGTTGTCACACAAGCTTTCAGTTGTCATCAGTCACCTAATTTCAAGTCTTTGGAGGGACAGCACCAACCTGCTTTCTGGATGCCTACCTCACCCTACAGGTGCTTCTCAAACATCACCCCTACACCATCATCTTAAATAATCTTCCCAGGATTAGTGTCTTCATACCTCACCTGGAAAGTTTGGAAAAGCAAAGCTGCTTTTTAAGGGCATTTCGGTTTAAAAACCTAAGAAAGCAGGGATGGCTGTTGTACACAACAGGGGTTTTTCTACTTGTGGAATTCCTTATTTAGTGCAGGGTTAAGTTTGTCACTATAAAGTAAATGGAAGATATATCATTGCAAAAACTTAAAGAAAAATAAGAAAGGAAGGAGGAGGGATGGTGGGAGTGAGAGATGGAGGGAAGGTAGAGTGGGAAGGATCATTATATCCTTAAAACTGTGTATGAATATGTGAAATGTGTGCCCTTTATATAAATTTTCAAAAATTTTTAAAGGATTTTTTGACAAGTAGAGTTATAGACAGAGAGACAGAAAGGTCTTCCTTCCGTTGGTTCACCCTCCAAATGGCCACCGTGGCCGGATCTGTGCCAATCCGAAGCCAGGAGCCAGGTGCTTACCACCCGGTCTCCCATGGGAGCGCAGGAGCCCAAGCACTTGGGCCATCCTCCGCTGCCCTCCCTGGCCACAGCAGAGAGCTGGCCTGGAAGAGGAGCAACCAGGACTAAAACTGGTACCCATATGGGATGCCAGCACTGCAGGTGGAGGATTAGCCAAGTGAGCCACAGTGCCAGCCCCTCAAAATTTTTAATGCATTAAATTAAAAAAAAAAAAAAAACACTGCTTCCGATGCCTGTATCCTGCATTGGAGTGCCTGGTTTGATCCCCACTTCCTTGTACTCCACCCAGCTTCCTGATAATATACATCCAGGGAGGTGTAGAGCTCAAGTAGCGGAATCCCTGCCACCCAGGTAAGAGACTCAGGTTAAGTTTTGACTTCCTGGCGTCTACCTGACCCAGCCTTGGCTTTGCAGTCATTTTGGTAGTGAACCAGTGGATGTAAGATTTATGTCTGTCTGACTCTCTCTCTCTCCCCCCCCAACCTAAATGAAAATAAATATTAAAACATTTTTAAAAACACATAAGAAGAAGGCAGGCAGTAGTGAAGATGCCACGTGGGACATTAGTATCCCATGTCAACTCCCTGGGTTCAAGTCCTGGCTCTGCTCCCGATTCCAACTTCTTGCTGAAGCATACCCTGGAAGGCAGCAGGTGACGGCACAAATAGTTAGGTGCCTGCCACCATGTAGGAGACTTGGACTGAGTTCCTAGCTCCTGACGCTCTCCTGGCCCAGCTGTTGCTATTCTGAGCATTTGGGGAGTGAACTAATAAATGGGACGATCTCTCTCTTTCTTTCTCTTTCTCTTTCTTTCTCTTTTTCACGTTCTTTCTCTTTCCTTTTTCTCCCTCTTTCTCATTGCCTATCATAAAATACTTTTGAAAATAAAACTATAAGAAGTAAAAAGCCATCAGTTATTCATTGAATTCAGCAGTCTGAGGTCATAGTGAAGCAAGAGTTTAACCAGCTTCATAGTTCACCCAATCCCCATTTAGATAAGTATCTGAAAATAAGCAAGAAATCTTAAAAAGTCACTTTTATTCCTGGTCTTCCTTTGGTGCACCTCTCCCCATTCAACCTATAGACCAGTGATTCTCAACCCTGACTGTGCTTTAAAATCACAGAGATTTGGGGGAAAAATACCAATGACCAGTCCTGAGTTGAACTTGCTATGCAGCCAGCCTGCACACCACAGCTTCAGAGGCTTGTAGCCCTCATCCAAATGAAGAAAACGAAGGCATCTGAGCTCAATTAACCCTTGTTGGCTAAGTGATCGTACCAGAGCAAGGGTCAATCTCTCAATCTGGCATTGCATTTTGAGCATTTTGTCCGTAATTATAGAATGAAACTTTTCTCTTCCTAAAGAAAGCCGGTCATTGATACTCAAATCAAAAGATTGCCTTTCCCAGGGGCTATTTCATCCTTGTCCTTGTCTTCCAAGAGCTGAAATATTCTTTTCTCCACTAGGCCAAGAAAGCACCTAATTGTTCCTCCCCTCACACTCATCACAAGGATCCTAGTTTCATAGCTTAAGTTTCTGGCAAGGTTTACTTTGGAACTAATGATAGGAGTACCGATTTACTCATCTGTAGATCAGGGGCTTGGGATTCATATTGCATCTGCTCTAGGCATAAAGTTTCTAATAGCAGGTTAGGTGCCTTTGTCCCCAGGCTTCCAGGACAGAAGCATCCATCGTGGCACCTGCTGTATATGCTCCACCAGGAAAAGGAGACGATGCAGGATTCAAATGAGAACCTTTGCCTCCACCTTGTGGATGACACATCTAAATGCTGATGCTGTGCAGAGGTCAATTCTGAAATCAGATCTTAACAAAATTGCTAATAGAAAACCGTGGGGGAATGGACCTACTTTGGGCTAGAGCTCTATCTAGAGAATCATAAAATAGTTAGCAACATACATAATTTTCAACTTTTATTCTCAGGGATTTTAAAACTCATGCTAATTGACTCACATGACAAAATCAGCCACCCAGATTTTTCATTCAATGCCTGATAATGCTTAAAATTTTGAGGAAAAAAAATCAGCTCCATTTTACCACTGAGAATAGAGCTTTAGTGATGGTGTTTAATGTTTCTGATATATTAGAAATCCTGCTGTTTAATGTAAGAAACAGTAATTGTTAGTTTTCAAAGGACTTTATTGTTACCTAACCTTCACC